CAATTCTTTACTGCTGGCAGGTGGTACTTGTGACATAAGTTCCAGTGAATCATTTGGGCCACAGAGTTGTGCCTTTGCTTGTAGTCCATCTGTGTGATTTTCTTACAACAGCTGAGGATATGGTCCATGGTTTCATCAGCTTCCTTGCACAGTCTGCATTTTGGGTTGTCAACTGATTTTTCGATCTTGGCCTTAATTGCATGTGTTGTGATGGTTTGCTCCTGGACTGCAAGAATCAGACCTTCCATCTCCCACTTCAGTGTTCCATCTGTGAGCCATAACCAAGTCTTCTCCCTGTCAACATAATCATCATCATTATCATCTTCTCTTACTCTCTGAGTGCAAATTGGCTTGACATGGTGCACTTTCATTTCCAACTCTGTTTTGAACAAGAGGTACTGCAGCAGTTATTAGATGTTGGCAAACCATGCGAATAGAACATCCTCCATTTTTATTGACTTTTGGTTCTAATTGAATTCAGCTGTAGATGGTGAGCATTCTTTGGAGCATGCACATTTAATTTCCTGATCTTCAATCTTGGTCAGAGCTCTTATTAAAATATGGGCCCAATATCACAATTATCTGTTTGTACAAGGAAGATGTCTTTCTGAGTGTTTCTACAAGTGAGTCTTGCAAAGTGCTTTAAGATAGACAAATATGGAAATAAATGCTAGATACACTAAGGAAATAAATAAACCATCACTTTTCTGTATCGTAGTTGTGTCATTACTTGCTTGGACAAATGTATCCTTCAATGTATCCTGCAATGCAGATTAGCAATATGGGTATGTTGATTCAAAGTCAGCTTCTTCAGAAGTAGTGAATACAATAGAGTTGTGAGAATTCAGACTGCATGTACTCAGTTCTTGCCTTTTGCCACTCTACTAAGAGAACGGGATGGTTCTTTAAAAAAAGAGTCAAGTACAGAAATTGCACTGACCTGTGAATATCTAGGCCCATTTTTTTGGAGTGGGGTCAATATTTTGACTAAAAGTTCTAAACTTATAAATATACACAGATTTCTGCTACAGAGTTTGTTCAGACACAAAAAAACAAAGTTCGCATCTTATGAAACTGGAGCTAGAGAAAGGTTATGCTTTTCTACTCAGTTTGGGGAAATTATAAGTACAAAACCGACATTTGCAAGTTTTGCTCTGAACTTGACCTTGTTGTCTTCAACAAATCAATCTGGCCTGTCTCAAAAAGTTGTGTGAGCTCTGTGGAGCCATTGAAGGGATGTTATGCAAAGCCTTTGCTGCAATTGCACAAATCCCGAAGTATATAGGAAGAGACCAAATGCATAGTAGGAGGCCAGTCCAATATTCCACTCCCAAAGTGGTCAACCATATGTCCACAGAAAGCTCACAAACAAGACATGAATGCAATAGCATCACCTCACTAATCTCCCCCTACATTGGGAATTCAAGGACATGCTATCTCTGATGTTGGAAGTAATTGCATAGCCATCATAACTATATGTCAACCAGAAACAAGCTGCCTACAACTGTGTGTTCCATGTGAATTCCAAATAGGTCTCCTTTCTTTCAGCCCATGTTGGTTGTCAAAGGTGACTTGTCTCTTTTCTGCTTTTGAAACTTCAACAGAGTGTCAGCCTTTACATTCTCTTGCTGCAGAGCAAAGGTGAACAAGATTCTTTCACACAAAGATATGGCGTTCAAAAAAGCTATTTGCAGATAGCATTTGAAAGCCTGGCCAGGAGGGCTGAGGGGAATAGCTCCTTTAATAAGCCTCCTCTCCATGATTTTTTCCTGTCAAAGTATTTGTCTTCCTGAAGGCTTTGTTGTTCTTGTTAAAAAGTGTGTTGGGTCCTGTCATGTAAAGTAAAATGAGATGGCTCTGGCATGCTGTATTTGAGAAATATGAGGACCCTGGAATTTTAAGCCATAGATTTATAGCATTTTTATTATTGAGCCCTTCAGATGTTCTCAGTATGTATGGCTTTATCGACACTGATGTTCACATAGTTGCAAGACTGTTCTCAAATATCAGATGCCTAAAATTAAATACCGTGGCCTAGAGGAAATGCCATGCTTAACTGTTTTGGCACCTTAAATGTAATTGTGATCTCAACATTACAGGAAAACCACATTTTAGTTCTGGTGAATGTTTATATGGAGATATTATGAGATGTATATGTTACAAATATAAGAAAAAAGTGGGGAAACTGACTGAAGGCCAGTGTTCAAAATGCCCTTTTTAAACTGTACTGAACCATACACAGAATCAGATTGTTGTTATCCCATCTCCTGCACGTGTTAAAGCTATTTGTGTATCCTAAACCCATTCAGGATAATTTCTAGCTTTCCAGAGCAGAAGGGGAGAAAATGTCCTTGTTTTTGCTCTGCCTTTCAGAAGCTTCCAGTATCATTGATCCTGGTATCTTTCTGAACTACATAGGTGGGATAGCACTTGCGGGTGGGACATTGTTTTACAGTGCCTTTTCTCCTTCATGGAGAGGCAAACCTAGAAGATGATGCTCTTTTTCAACTAATTGACCATTGGTTTTAGGGATCCCTCGGGGTTTTTGACCCCATGATATTTAATATATACTTATAGCTGGTGGAAGGGGATGCCACTTTTTGACACAATCCAAGGAAACTATTTCAGTCCTAAACTGGTGCCTGTTATCTGAAATGGGGGAGGGCAAACAAATTTAAACTTAATCCAGAGAAGATGGAGGTAGTGCTGGCCCATTGAAAAGCAGATAAGGGGATAGGAATTCAGTTTATGCTGGAGTGGTCTCCTCGATTCAACCATCAATAGAGGCTCATGGTTGAATTGAGGATACCACTTAAACTCAAGTTTTAGTAGTGATCAGGAGTATATTGCACAATTAAGGACCAGGTTTCTGCATTTGTCCAGGAGCACATTTTCAATGTGTGTTCCAACTGCGCACATTTTTTGAGATGCTAGATCTGGCTGTGTTGGTATATGCCTTTGTTATAATCCATTTGGATTAATGTACATTGGGGCCACCTTTGAAAAGTGTATGGAAACTTCGGCTGGTCCAAAAAGCTGCGGCCAGATTGTTAATCAGGGCTGGTTACAGGGAACCCACATCTGCCCCAGTTGCCTGGTTTATTTCTGGACACTCTTTCTAGGCCATGACAATTGTTATCATACTCCCAATGTTGCGTCTCAGGTTAAGCTTCACCTTGCTCTCTGACAAACCAGCCAAACTTGAGAAGAAAGAAGTTTATTGAAGTTCAAAACAAATTCAAGTAAAAGCAGTAAAAGTTCAATGGTACAAAGTATAGGTCCAAAGTTCTGTTGAAACAAGGCAGGAAACTTGAGGCAAAGAAGCAGGATACAATCCAGGCAATAGCATGAAGTTACAGGAAGCAAACGAACCCCAAGGCCCAAGCCCTAGAGCCAAAGGTACAGCAATCCATATTGCAAAGTTGGATCTGACACTGAATCAGCTTTCAAGCAGTCTTCTTATAGGAAAAACATCAAAACATGAACATTAAACAGAACAGCTAACGAGCAGTTTTCCCACCAGCAGATGGCCTCAAGATTTGGCCGCAATCCGTAAACTTTTCCTTAACACCTGCGGCTCGCGCCAACCTTCACCGAGAGTGTTATCAGCCACATTCCTTTCCCTTGAGAACAAGGGATTCTCTCTAGCTACAGACTGTGGCTGAGAAAACTGAGAAATCTGAAATCCCACATCTGCATCTGTATTCCCATTCTCATCATGCCCACTTGCACTCTCAGTCCCATCATGCCCATCATGCTGTTGCTGAACCACAACACCCAACCTCAATAAAGGAATTGTGGTGGTGTTTGAGGCTCACCTGGCAGCTTGTTCTGGATCCAGGACAGCAGGAGATGGGTTTCTTCAGGTTCCATAAAAAGCTCTGTGACATAATTTGAGTACACTAGCCTTCATCTCCAATAGAACCAAAGGTAGTAAAGCTAAGGATTTTGGTTTTGATTCTGTTCTCTTGATAGGAAAAGATAGAGAGTGAAGTCATTAAAATGTGTGTGTATGGGGGGGGGAAGAGAGATTGATTCTATTTGTCATTGTTATGTGCAAATATTGAGCTGGTATCAAAATACTCTTAAAGCACATGAAGTGATCCCACACTAGTCTATGGAGAACCAACATGTTTCTATACCTGCAGGCCTTTTCTAGCCCATTAGTGTCTACAGGATGTAAAATACTCATAAGTATGTCAGCAGCCTTTAGTACATATCTGTCAGAGACAGAAACAAAGGACAAGCTGCTTATTTCTTGCCTTGAGATAAATCTTCAGGTTTATTTGATATGAATGTTATGCTTATTATCTAATTCAACACTCATGTTAGAAAACCAATTTTTAAAAACATTATATTGAGATTCACATTGGAAATATAATAAGACTCTGATTTTAAATCTGGTTGGAGATTTGAATCCAACAGAATTCTGCAGGCTATCTTGTGAAATCCAAGACTGTCAAGGGTTTTCCGGGCTATATAGCCATGCTTCACAAGCATTCTCTCCTGATGTTTTGCCTACATTTATGGCAGGCATCCTCAGAGGTTGTGAGGTTTGTTGGAAACTAGGCAAGTGGAGCTTATGTATCTGTGGAATGTCTAGGGTTATCTGTTTGAGGCAAGTGTGAATGTTGCAATTGGCCAGTTTGATTAGCATTGTATAGGTTCTGTGGGTTTGTTCTTAAGTTGATATGTGTGTGTGTGGCTGGAGTTACATTAAAATGTGTAGGTAGCTATAGATATAGTTATAGATAAAGATATACCTGGAGTTATACTTTAAAAATGTAACTCTTCCGACTTACAAACAAATTCAACTTAAGAACAAACCCTCAGAACCTATCTTGTTTGTAACTTGGGGACTGCCTTTATTTGAATCCAGAATTTTTTGTTGTTAGGGCCTACCACATATGATAAAAGGCTCCTTCCTTTTGCTGAAATTTCCAGGAAACATTTTTCAGAAATTTAGATCTATCTTTGCTATCCTTTCTGGTGTCATGTACAATCTATACACCATCCTACCAAAATTTTCTCTTAGTCCACAACATTTGATGAATTTAATGTTTGTTTTCCACATCTGTTGCTAGTGATTATAATAGAATTATTTTGTTTTATTGGTAATGGTGGACTACTCCACCCGCACACACTCTTTTCATATAGCTTGTGTTTCAGGCAGTTCTAGTGTTTTTGTTAATTAGCTTTCAGTGTTTTAGTTTTAGTTTTTTTTCCTTTTCATTTATTTTTTATCTGAATGCATCTTACTTTGATTTTGAATTAGACCGTTTTAATATTCATGTGTTAAAAACATGGTAAGATTCCTTTCTCCCCTCTTCATTTTTTATATTAGCTCCTGTGGTGAAGTGTGAATTTTAATCTACAGTTATGTATAATAATAGATAGGTGTTTAAAAGGGTAAGTATTTAAACTAGCATAATTGGGGGGATGGTAGCCAGCTCAACTCACTTTGAGCTGAGTTGCCATGGAAAAAGGGGCGGAGCCAACTGCCACTTGGCAGGGCAGCCATTTTAAAACCGTTAGTCTGTAGTCAGCGAACTACAGGGAAGGCTGGTTCTGTTGTGTATTGAGAACCAGTAAGGTAGTCTGTAGTCTAAGTACTACAGGGAAAAGCTGATTCTACTGTGTTGAGAATCAGGAAGGTTTTGGCTTTTTGCCTGTGTAGTTTAGATAGGTTGAGTTGACTTATTTATATTATTAGTCAGTGTATGAGTAAAAAGGGGAGAAAACCCTAATAAGAATCTTATTTGCAACAGAAATAACATAAGGAAAAGATAAGCGTGTACCTGTAGTAATCTGTTAAAGAAAGAAACACATTTTGAAGGAAAATAAGTTTGGAACCTGTTTAGTGGAAGGAATAGTCCTCTCAAGAGTTGGTTTATGAAATTTTATAAATGTAACCTCTGGAGATATGTGCCTCTAAGAGCTAAGAAACATTGAAACCATCAAACTTCTTCTATACTTCAATAAACTTGTTACAGTTTCTTCTAAAGCCAAGTCTCTGTTACAAATACTTTCAAGTTAAGCCACGCTACACATTGAAGAAAGACCAAATCAACATTACAAGCTATTAGTTGTGTTATCAATTTAATAAGTCCTTACAAAGTGGTGGCTCCTTTACAAACCGTTACAAATTGGTGGCATCGTTACAAACTGGGTGCCATCTTCACAAATTGGTGACCTCTTTACAGCTCCTGTTTTCAAAACCAGAAAACTTCCATTTTTTAAAAAAAATGATTTTTTTGGTAAGCCCTACAGTCTCTGGAGAGGACAGAAAATAATACACCTGTCTCAGTTGCCAACCCCTGATTGAAAAGTTGTTAGAAATCTTGGAAACAGAGAGAGGTACCAAGCATAGAAGACTGGATTGTAAAACTATTTGATATTATCCAAATGGAAGAACTATCTCAAGGATTAAAAGGAACAAACAAAAAGACTGACTGGTCAGGATTCAAAGATTTCATTGTAAAAAGAGGACTTCCAGTATTAATAGACTTGACCAGCATATAAAGAAGGTTAACAATAGAAACGAAGCCGGGAAAAGGACTGAAAAATAACTAAAAGATGAATATAAGAAGAGGGAATCGCTCCTTCTTCTTCTTGTGATACATTCAGAAGACGTTGGGAAGTCAAATCACGGGCATGAAGGGAGTAGGGGTGGAGGGATAAGACGATCATTTCAGGGGCTTCGGTTAAGGGTTTTGTTTTCTGTGGGTTTCTTTTTCCTCCCTCCCTCTCTTATCTACACGTACCTATCAATCTATTTATTCAATCTGCTTCTATCTTCTCCCAAATATTCACCCTCTTTCGCTGTAACATTTCAAAAACTTTAATAAAAATTATTTAATAAAAAAAGTTGTTAGAACGGATAGAGACAATGCACACATCTTAATTGTTTCTTCATGTTCTTTTAGGTAAAGTAACTATTAATAATTTCTGTAAACCTAATTTGATGTGCACTATATATATATAAGTATTAGAACTGTATAGATGCCTCTGATATGTTTATTTTAAATAGATACATTTTGATTTCATTTAATTTTCAAGTGACTATTTTCAGATATTATGATATTCAAATTATTATAGCAATATTTTTTATGCCAACTTCCAGGGCAAAAAGCTCCCATATAGTCTTGGTGCTGATGCTGAAGAAGGAGAAGTTTCTGACGAAGACAGTGCTGATGAAATTGAGGATGATTGCAAGCTAAAGTTCTCATATGTAAGTGTGAACATCTGTTTCCTTAAGAGCCTTCTCCCCCAAAAGCACTCACAGAGCAATAGTAGGCGATCTTTTAAATCACATTTTGGAGTTCAGTGCCTGCTTTAAGATAAAATAACGATCAGATTCACAATAACCATAACAATTCAGTAGGTACTTCTGAACCATTGGTTCCCCTTAAGATATTTATTAATTGTGTTTTATCAGAAGATAGCAAGGCTGTAAGTAATAAAGTGAGACCTGATAGGTAGATCGTTTTCTCAGTTGCTAATATTTACTTCCTTGCTACCGTAATTTTGAATTGTAGTCTCATTGAGTGTACATCTACATTTTAGAATTAATGCATTTTAATGCTATCTTAAGTGCCATGGCTCAATGCTATGGAATCCTTGTAGTTTGTAGTTTGGTGAGGTACCAGAGCATTGACAAAGAAGTCCAAAGACCTTGTAATATTACATCTCCCTGGACTTCATAGCATTGAGCCATTTAATGCAGTTAAAGTAGGCTGCATTAATTCTACAGCGTAGATGCACCCAGAAATGTATCTTCTGTGGAATCTAGTAGAAGACTATGTCTATTGAAGTTGCTAGGTAAATTCCTTTGAATACAGACCTGGGAATCACTCACAGGACTATGCTGCTGTGAAGGAAGATTCCTCCTCTTTCCAGAAAACGCTATGGTCCCCAAAATCCAATCTGGGCAGTTTGGGATTTCTCCAGGAAAAGATGTGAAGAAGACATAACTGCATTGGAAATGATGAACAAGACAAATGTCTCTTCTTTCAGCATAGGTTTCAACTGAGCTCAACTCCTTCCACAAAAATGAGTCTGAAATAATTTCCATTATTTATTTATGCAGTTATTTTAATATAGCTGAATTGTTTTTTAAAAATCCAAAGTACTGTAGTTTATAATAATAATAAAAAAACAAACAGAAGGGAGATATAATGAATCTGAATGACCTAGCTGGTCCTTAAGGGGTGACCAGATCTCCCCCATTAAATTCTGTATTTATCCAACTGCTCTCTTAGGCTGCAGTAATGTATACACTTCCCCTCTGGCTAAGCAAAAGTGAAAACAAAGAAACTTCTGAGTAGGCATCAAGTGATTAAACAGTGGATATAGGTCCCTCCTATTCATACAAATATGTTCTTATCTTCCTTTTTGCTATTTCTATTTTAGTTTATAATCCTCCCCCCCCCCACCTCAATGGCAACACAGTATATCTGCTCAAAGGCAGTAAAAAAAAATCTGTGTACACAAACATACTGTTTGTATTTATATTATTATAATGTATTTAGCAGCAGTCCATTGTAGAACTGGTCAGTCTTGGGAATCGAGGTATTCTTTTGAGCATAGGCTATCCACTCTCAGGAAAGTGGACATAACTGTCCATTTTCCTGAGAGTGGAGCTCTTACGTTTATCAGTGTGTGTGTGTATAAAATCTGTTTGTTTTTTTAAAACTTCCTAATTTGGATTGACTATTGGGACATAATGTTTTTCCAGATGGACTAGTGGTGCTGCTCAGTTGCTTTGGATTCTACATGGTCCCTTCAGATTTGATTTTGAGAAAGCACAGATGCTCATAGTATTTTTTTCTTTTTAAAAGATGCTTATCGCAGGGTGCCTTGCAGATGCATACACTAATCTTGCTATGCTTCTTCCCGTTTGTCAAATTAATGCTCTCTTCAGAGCAGTGGAGGAACTTTTAATATATTCCCATTTGGTTAGTGTAGGAGGCTAGATTATTTTACTTCAAGGTCAGAAAATATAAACTCATTATTCCTTTGTGCACTGTGAATAGTCTCATGTGGAGAGATAATTTGGCTTTGGGTACATGTAGCACAAGACAGCAAAAGTTCATCCAATGACTCAGAGTTATTTCTACCAAACCCTCAATCTGAATGAAAGAGTGTATATACACACACACAATCAACTGCAGTGTGGCAATAAGATCTCTTGAAATAGTTCATTTTTAGACTCCAACTTCCTGAATCCATTAGTGGTTGTGCTTGTTATGTGCAATTCTGGTTATGTGCAGCTGGAGTGTATTGGAATATTTCTCACTAATATTAACTTTTCACTTCTTATTCATGTATACCAGCATTCCCCAAAAAGTTCCACTTTGTAATCCTCATTGTTCTGCAACCAGCATCGCTACTGGCCATACTGTCTTGCAGTGATAGAGGATATAGACCAAGACATCTTGAAGGCACCAGTCTTGGGATGGCCAATGTACACAACACACTCCTTTTAACACTTCGGTTAAGTGTCATGATTCTTAATAGGAAATGGTTCTCAGAGAAGCATTTGCAGATATGACAAAGTTTTGGAAAGCATCTAAATTTAATGAAAAAATGTCTTCTAGCCATGCCTCCAGCAAATCTACATTCTTATCTTATTCCCTTGGCATGTTTGGATAACTTTGTGGAATCCTCATGTATAGGGGGTCTCATAGACCTTAATAAAGACCAATACCTTGAAATAGTTTCTGTGTTTTTTAAAAAAACTGTGATGGGTAGTGAAAGTATTTCTGGAAAACAAGTTCTGGCTTTTGTTGCTACCTCAGCCATTCTAAACAAAACCCACTCTAAAGATGCCATTCCTATACACCAGTCTAATTCAAAAGAAGGGCATTTCAACATTTAGGAAGGATCAGTTCACTTGGGCAGAAATATATATCCAGCACTCTTTACTTTTTCAACATCAACAACCAACTCAACAATGTGCATTGGGGTTTACTGATCTATTTCAGAGTAATGGCACCACTGAGCACCAGATAGAATCTTTTATAAGGAAGAAACTGGAATCCTTGTTAAAAGAATCTCAGATCAGAGACAAAGAAGACCCCGACTGCTTTACTGTGAGGGCACTCTTGAAAGCAACCCACGAGGGCTTAAATGTTAACTTCAAACAGGTAAGAATCACCTCCCCTCCCCATCCCATGTCTTTTCTTGGTATTGTTGAGATAGTATTGACATATACTGCAGGCGATTACATAGAAGAAAAACCGATGCTTCATTTTATGTAAGAAATTCCTTGGAGTGAAATTTGCAGACCGCCTTACAAAATCTTAGTTTCCTGATTTTTTAAAAAATACTTTCTCCCCCCCCCCCCCCCCAGAAAGTGACATTATTTACTTATTTGTGTGTTTGTGTATTTATGGGGAGAACAAATATGACATGGATTATTCTGATGTTTTGTTCATGATTACCTCCCTCATTATGGGACTAGTCATGTGCTTGTGGCCTTGCAGACGTACACACACACATATTGTTAATTAAAGAGGTCATTTAAAGAATATGGAGCCCCCAGTGGCACAATGGGTTAAACCTTTGTCCTGGCAGGACTTCTGACAGAAAGGTTGGTGGTTTGATGTGGGGGTGTGAGTATTAGATCAGGACTCTGCTTGACAAAGGTGCAAAGCCCTATTTGGCCATGGATGATGTTGAGCAAGTCATGCTCTCTTAGCCTCAAAGGAAAGCCCCATTTTGAACAAACCTTGCAAAGGATATCCCTGCAATATTTTCATTTTAGGTCTTAAATGACTTGAAGGCACATGACAACATCTCCATCTATGAACCAGCGCAAACACTAAAATCCTCCGGAGAGGCCCTCATCTCGCTCCCATTTCAATTACAAGCAGGGTTGCTGGGGACAAGAGAAAGGGCCTTTTCGGTGGTGCCCCCCACCTCTGGAACACCCTTTCAAGGGAAATAAAACAGGCCCCATCCCTTCCCTCTTTTCATAAGAGTTTGAAGACTTGGTGGTTTCAACCAATCTTCAAGAGTGACCAGTGCTAGCTCAGCCCAGAGACTGTCCGGACATGACCTAGCTCCCTATATATTACCCTGGTCATTCTCCTAACAGGCCCCTGAAAATAGCCTATCCCCACTTTTTTCATTTACCTATTACAGTACCCAAATGCCGGTCCCATGTTATTTCAATTTGTATCAGTCTTGACCCAGCTTTTTTAATTGTCCTGACCCATTCCTTTTCCATGCCCTAACAAATAGACATGAAGAGTAGGCAGGATTTTTTCTTTTAATATTGATGTATTGTTGGGTAATTCCATGCTTATGTTGCTGTTACTGTTATTTTTTGTTCATGTTGTGACTCTGTATGTTTTGATGTTGTTGCTTGGAAACCGTCTTAAGTCCCCCCGGGGAGATAGAGCTGTATTCTGCTGGCTGTTGTATTGGATCACACGTCGGACACTTCCCAAGTGTCTAGGACTGTGTGATTTATTGGCAAATGATGCGTGCAGATCCCAGTAAGGTGGCCTTCTGCAGCTGGCAGATGGTAATTTTGTCAGCATTGTGTTTAAGTGCAGGCCAAGGTCTTTAGGCACTGCACCCAGTGATTCGATCACCATTGGGACCACCTTGACTGGCTTGTGCCAGAGTCTTTGCAGTTCGATCTTTAAATCCTCATATTGTGTCAGCTTTTCCAGTTGTTTCTCTTCAATCCTGCTGTCAGCTGGGATTGCAACATCGACAATCCATACTTAGTTTTTTAACACAATTGTGAGGTCAGGAGTATTGTGCTCTAGAACTCTGTGTGTCTGAATTCGGAAGTCCCAAAGGAGTTTGACGTGTTCATTTTCTGTAACTTTTTTCAGCTTGTGATCCCACCAGTTCTTTGTCGCAGGCAGATGGTAGTGTTGTTGTTGTTGTTGTTGTTGTTGTTGTTGTTATTCCATGGCCCTCACACAACGGGCTTTGCACATTTTGAGCAACTTAATTGCTGAGGGCCTGGTGTGTATTTCTAAACTCCCAAACATCAAATCTGACTATAAAAATATGCTTAAATGTTTCTCTGGTTTCTTCTCCTTGTTCACATTGGTGGGAGCCTGGTGGTTGGAAGAATCAAGAAAAGGGGATGAGACATGCTGCTTTATTTGTATTGGGTTTTTATTTTTTTTGTAAAGCAGGCCACTGGAAATTTCTGCAGAAAAGATGGGCTTGGTCGCAAGATGTTGTTTTCTGCTATTCAGGATTCCAAATAGTCCTTTCCATAGTGTACCTTACTGGTTTTCTTCTCTCTCTCGCCTCACTAGGAATTTTTGCTAATGGCTTCTAGTGCTTCTGCAGTTTTCTGATGTGTCTCAAGGGGCACAGGTTTTCAGTATAAATAGGAGGGTTGAATGAAAAGTAATGCCTCCACCTTCATTACTTGGGTTTGGATGGGAATATTTTAATAAATCAAACGCAGAAATAATCCTTAGAATGTTCTTTTTAACTACAACTATTCACTTTTCCACATAACCACCAGACAATTGGATACGTTTCTGCCAACAATGAACAAGTTTTCTGAAGCTGTCACGGAAGAAGTAGACACTCTATTTCTCCAACCAGCGTATCACAGTTCTCTCAGTGTACCCATCGTGCACAGATCTTCCGATAGCCAAGCAAAACAATAATGTGACCCACACGTTCTTGTGAAATGCTGATTATGCTTGAAATTTCTCTTTGAGTGATACGACGATGATCCTGAATCAATCTGTCAACCTTTTGCTTGTGAAACTCAGTGGTTGCTGTCACAGGACATCCAACTCTTTGTTTGCCATGCAAGTCAGATGTTCCCACCTCAACATCTTTAAACTTACTCGCCCAACGAAGCACAGTACTCACATCAACACAATCACCATAAACAGTTTGCATTCTCTGATTAATCTCCTTTGGGGTGACACCTTCTGTTTTTAATGACTGCACATTGCTTAAGTCGCATTGACTGACAGTCTGCGCAGGGTTCCATACCTCTCACTTTAACAACACAACTGTTCAATGCTAAGGCTTCCTGCCAAATTGGGACTGTAGAGGAGAGTCTACTGAACATTAGCCAGTACCTGTCACATACCAGTACTGCCATCTGTTGAGGAGTTACGATGGTGGAGGCATTAATTTTCATTCAACCCTCGTACAAAGAATACACTGATGACAACATTGACATTTCTTCCCTCTATCCAATATCTGCATTTGCTGAAACAATCTTTAAAATACTGCTTTTTTGTGAATACACGTCTTGTTTAGACATGTTGATTCAGATTAAGAACCAATCTCTTTTCCCATAATTTCTTGATTTGGGACACAGAGAATCACTACAGACACTGCAAAGAAAGGGTTTCAGAAGGAAGATGTGCAGCTAACATATTCCCACTATGTTTCTTGATCTTCCATATCCAAAACTGGGCAGAAGATACCATATACTGTCTGATCTTGGAACCTAGGCAGAGTCAGACATTGTTAGTACTTGAATGGGAGACTGCCAATGAATACTGCTGTAGGTTATATTTCAGTGGTAGGAACTGGCAAAATCACCTCTGAGTGTTGTTTGCCTAAGAAAATGCTATGAAATTAATGTCATAAGTTGACAGCCAACTTGAAAACACACACATGCACAGGTACAGCTGATCAGAGAAATTCCTCAGTATAGAGGAATTCTAGCTTAGAAATAAATGCAGGATAGAGTTTTTCAAGGTTGGCTAAGCCTAGAAAGAAACAAAAGGGGTGAGGTGAGGGTAACTGAAACCATTTCATGTTCTTTATAGAAAGCTAATGGAAAATACATTTCTGCCACAGGTCATGCATTATATAACTATGAGGTCTTGTGCTGTGAATAGCTGGGAGAATGTATTTCAGTGCCTTTTTCAGCTCTTCAGAGAGATGAAGGGAAGTGATGTTCTGACAGCAACATTGGATCCTGCCACAGACCATCAAATTGATGACCCAAGGGATTCCTCTTACAGTGAATCTCCATTGGCCCAGCAAACATTGCAGCTGTCTCTGTGACTTTGGGATTTTATTTTTGTATTCTCCATTTATCTGAAGAATTTCCGAACTGTAGGGGTTTGATATGTTGGTTTATTTCAATGGCATGCGGCTTTCTGACTTCATTCTTTTGTTTACCTGGTTTCTTCTGGTATATCATTTTCAATATAGAAGAATAGAAGTATTCATACATTTTCAATGAGCAGAATTGCACATAAAAACTTTTATCTGCAAAATATTGTATGCTCAGTTAACCACTTAGAAACTAAAAAAGTGACCATATCATAAATTTCAAAAGCAATGTTATTAATTATTTTGGTGTGATGAGTAAGGTTTCTTTGTTAATCTTTAAAGTCCATATTCTCAAAGGATATATTGTATTTAGGACTTTTAACAGGAATGTTAAATGTTTTATATTCTCTTAACTCTATTTTAAAGTACCTAATCTATATAAATAAAAATATAATGTTCGTTTGTGAGATTAACATAACTCAAAAACCACTGGATGAATTGACACCAAATTTGGACACAAGATACCTATCAGGCCAACAACTGACCATCAATCATAAAAACATTGAAAAACACAGCAGAAAGGACTTAAAAAGCCCAAAAAGCAAAAAGATTGCTACAGCGCATGCGCAAAAATGACTCCTGGCAAACAAAAGACATGATAGCATATCCACACTCTGGGTTGTTGTAGGTTTTTTTCGGGCTGTATGGCCATGGTCTAGAGGCATTCTCTCCTGACCTTTTGCCTGCATCTATGGCAAGCATCCTCAGAAGTAGTGAGGTATGTTGGAACTAGGCAAAAGGGTTTATATATCTGTGGTTTATATATCCACACTCTCTTTCAGACTACAGCTTCCAGTATCCCCTAGACCAGATCTTTTAGGAGAGGGGGATGATCTAAATGAACTGCTTCCAAGGTGCAAGCTTTCTTCTCCTTGGATTTCTTTGGGAGCATTTCAGTCCCAGCATATTTCCAATTTTCTATTCCTGGGCTGCAACTTCCAGTAATTCTCCAGATACATAGAGTAGATAGAGATAGATAAGTAGATAGATAGATGGATCAAGAGGACTGCTGGGAGTTGCAGTCCAAGAATAGGTAGAGAAGGAAGAAAGGGGAGAAAGAGGAAGGGAAAGAAAAGGTGGGGGGTGATGGAAGGGAAGAAGAAGAGAAGGAAGGAAGGAGAGAAAGAAAGAAAGAAAAGAGAAAGTGGTTGGCCACAGCAACGCGTGGTGGGTACAACTAGTAATAAAAAAACGAGAAAACAAATTATGTAGCACTTCCATTCTTAAACAATTTAACACGTCATAACAAAGAAATATTTTAAGTTCTAGATGAGAACAGGAACTAATTACTTCTGAAATGACAATTATTACATTTCTTATTTTAAAAAGTTTTTTTGCAACAGAGATATTGTAGGTTTGCTCTGCATTTTGCACAATGTTGCCTGTAATTTATGCAATATATACAAAAAACATTATTGCCAATCAGGACTATTGTTCTAAATTTCAAAGGGCTGTGTAATATGATACAAGTCTTTCACTTCTTTGCCATAGAAAATTTGCACTGATGTGTAAAACCAATAAATCTGCTTATCAAAAGTCAATTTTCCAGGTTTTAAAACTCTTTATGAGAAAATTCATTTTATTATATGTTCCATAGCGAGAACTCTTGTATATGAGTTCTGCTATGAAGCCATTGTCTTTGTTCATACCTCTGCCTAATGGATTGCAACCTGTGAATATAATTCAATTCAGTCGTCTCTCTTTCTAGACTTCCTTTGTAATTTCCTTGTTCACAGACCGAAATCTGTAAATGACTTGCTGTTTGTCCATGAATGTTGAGAAGGTTCTGCAACTGGTGTTTGGGTTGTGCCATTACTAATGTCAGATTTGCATCCATTAATCCTCTTGCATAGAAACTGTCCTACTTGTTCGGTGTAGAGCAGTGGTTCCCAACCTTTGGGCCTCCTGGTGTTTTGGACTTCAGCTCCCACAGTTCCTAACAGCTGGTAAGCTGGCTGAGATTTCTGGGAGATGAAGTCCAAAACACCTGGAGGCCCAAAGGTTGGGAACCACTGGTGTAGAATCTAGTGGGGGGATTACTGGCATAGGATAACATTGAAACAACCTCTCATGTCATGAATTATATTATTGGCCCTGTAATATTGTAGATATTGGGACAGAGTTGGCATCTGGGTTTGTGGCAGGGACTTGTTTCTGTGTTACGATGATGTTATGTATCTTGTTGTAACTTGAGTAGTTGCTTAAGGTTTGGACCCTGTCTGTCACCCAGTAAGGTGTGTCTCCTTATAAGAAAACTGTGTTATTCTTGAGTTGTCATAGATCATTAATGATTTCTTTGAGTAGTCTTAGTTAGGGTCTGTAAGTAATCATTAGAAGTGTTCTGTCATTTGGGGGGAGGTTGCTCTGTTTCATAATTCCTGGGTATTAAGCCTGCAATGTGAATTTATTTCTTCACCTCTTTAGGTGTGTGTTGTATTTTGAAAAATGCCTGTTGTGAAACCAAGAGTTTTGAGTCTCTATCTTGTATGTCTGTGTAGATGGCTGTATTGGAAAGCATGGCACTAAACAATAAATTTGGTTGTATATTCTGGGTGGAAACTGGAGGCATGTAAATTAGATGTATCGATTTGTGGATTTTGATAGAAATCCATGGTGCAGGTGCACAGTGGGTCAAAGAATTGTCTTTATTGTGTGGATTGTTCCATCTTCAGGTTGATTGTAGTTTTTGAAATCCTGATGGAACTTCTCAAATAATTGCTGTTCATATGGAAAAATTACAAATGTGTCTTCAAGAAGCCCTTGATAGAGGAGTGGTTTTTGAGTGCATGTACTGAAGAAGTATTGTTCCAGGTCAGCCATCAACTCTTTGCTTGCGTATAGCCATTTTGATAAATACCCAATGGCAACATTATGTTCCAGAGATATCTAATTCCTCCTTTAAGGCTATCTGAAGTCGGTGTCCATTATGTCATCTTGTGATAGCCCTGTTCATCATTAAAAGTAAAAGTAGTTAAATACTCCAGACTCTGAAGCTCATTATTGGATATTCCAAAGTTGGAGGCAGGAGGCTCATTACCTCGTTGCCCCCAGTATAATCCATAAAGATGAAATTTGGCTAATTCTCTGAACAAGTGGACAGTTATATGTGAGAACAAACATAGTACAAACTTATCCTCAAAATTTCAGCAGTGGATTCATAGCTCACTCTTTTTTCTTTTTTTTTTACAGAACTCAGATCAGAAAGATACTAGCAAGAAATCTCATGGCAGACTAATGAGCAACTTTGGAAAACATAAGGTAAGCAGTTCTAAAAGTATGATTTGGTCATGGCTGAGTAGGAATTAAAACTTCTGGTATTTCAAATCCAACAATCTAAGCACTGGCTCCCAGTCAACACATAGAATTATCCATATTTGATAAAGTTTGTGGGCTAATTCAATAAACTAAAGTGTGAACAATGTTAAAAGGTTAGAGCTATTGAACTGAAACCAATGGTCAGTCTCAAAGTAGATTCACTGTACCAATTTTTGAATAGCAAGTTCATACTTACAAAATGCCACTTAGTCCATTGATCTACTATGTTTTGTCCCCAGCCTTTAAATCAGAAAAAGACAGCCACATCAATAGCTTTAAAGGCTGTTTTTAAAAATATTCTTTTTTGTTTATAACTTTCATACCAAATATTCCTGTAAGTCTATTGTATATACATTTGCGATTTTATTTATTTATTTATTTATTTATTTATTTAAAACATTTATATGCCACTCTTCTCACCCCGAAGGAGACTCAGGACAGAGCACAGCATATACACGGCAAACATTCAATTTTGTATTTGCAGTAGGAAATTGAGCAGATCAGAAAGATTAATAAACATCAAATTATCAGAAGATACACCAAAACGTATCTGAAGAAACTGCAGAAGACAGACTGTGCATTTAAATAGAGTGTGTTATGTACAGTTTAAGCATATTGTGAATGGCAAGATGCATGCAGTGTGTATCGGTGAATCAGATCTTCATCAATAGGAGTACAGTGTCTAGATTGAGGGAAGTCATAATTTCACTCTGTTCTGCTTTGGTCAGACCTCAACTGGAATACTATGTCCAGTTCTGGGCACCACAATTTAAGAAGGATATTGACAAACTGGCATGTATCCAGAGAAGGGTGACCAAAATGATCAATGATTTAGAAGCCAAGCCCTATGAGGAACAGCTGAAGGAGCTGGGTGTGTTTAGCTTGGAAAAAAGAAGGCTGAGAGGGGATGTGAGAGCCATGTTTAAATATTTGAAAGGATGTCACATTGAGAAGGGGGCAAGCTCGTTTTCTTTCTCCTGCTCTGCAGACTAGGTGAAGGAGAAATGGATTCAAATTGCAGGTAAATATATTTCCTATAAACATTAGGAAGAACTTCCGGATGGTTAGAGCTGCCTGGCAGTGGAATATGCTGTTGCCTGGGAGTCTGGTGGAGTCTCTTTCTCTGCAGGTTTTTAGGCAGAAGCTGGATGGCCATTTGTTGGGTGTGCTTTGATTGTGTGGTCCTGCATGGCAGAAACAAGAGACTTTGTGGTCTCTTTCAACTATGCGATCTGCATTTTATGTACACTATGCAATGGGCTTGTCATGTTCACAGGTTCACAGGCTCACAGTCTGCAGTTCCAAAACACTGTGGATTCAAACTACAGTATACTCCACAGTACTGTACTGTATTTTAAAACACTATATTTGCATGGGTGGAGAGGCTGCTAAAATGAGAGAGGGGCTTGGTGGTGGCTGCTGCTGCTTTCTTATCAGAGGGGAGGAGAGGAAGGGGCAAGGAGATACAGCGTACAGTATGTACAGTATTTGGAAAAATATCTTCTTAGTGGTGTAGGGCAGCAGTTGGGGCGAGGGTAAAGTCCGTTAGCAGGTGTGTCTCCAGTTGTGCATTTGTTGTGCTACCTACTTCAGCATATACCGTATTAACATGGAGATAGTTAGTGTTGGTCTACTGCAGCAAACACAAAGCATCCTCTTGGCTTTAAATTCTGACAAACTTTATTTGGCATAAAGATTTGTGATCCACTGAATCTGGCTTCATTGAATGCCAGAAATGCAGTCTCATTTGGCAGATGATTATACGTATGCATAGATAGGTATACCAATCAGTGGGAGATTGTGTGGAGTGAAAGGAAACAAATGCAAAAAGTACAAAAAGTGATCACTACCATAGCCTTGGTCAGACATTAGATGGATGATGACACAAATGATGAGATGTGCCTTTGTGAGATAATAAGCCTGTACTGTATTCCTACTTATTCTACCAGAGATAAAATTGTAGCTCTTGATGAGCTTCAAATCAGAATCTGTTTCTGTAGTTCTTTGGGTGGGGGAGAATGGAAATAGACAGGTTTTGTGGGTCAAATTTTATACCTTAAGTTCCAACTTGGAGTACTTTGTTTGTCTTAAAATGTGTAAGATCTACATCCCGCGGACATATATTCGTTCCATATGAATGTTCAGCATAGCTTCTGCAGGTACCTGCTGTTTGTAATTGTCATTGCAAAACCTGTTCATAAAATACTCTCTCTAACTCTAGTTTTTTTTTTAAAAGTACTGCCAAACTCATGGACTGCTCTATATGTAACTGGAAGTAAATTTAGGTGTCAATTTCTCCTTGGAGTTAAGATGCTTCTGTGTTTCAATGGGACCACAGTAACGTGCTTTGATAAACATGTTTTTCAGCAAGTAATTTGTAACTATACTTAGGAAACTGATAACAACGACAACAACTTTATTTTAAAAAATAATTTAAACATGCTTACATGAACACTCATTTATGTGAAACTTTTTTTTAACTTTCAAGGAACTAAAAAGGAGAATTAATGAGCTGGCTTGTTCCTTCAGTCCATGGATGAATTCCATAAACATCATTTACTAATGAGCATTATTAACAATTTGAATTCTCTGCACACTCATGCAAGAAGACGTGCTATGCTTATTGAGGGGAAAATCAGCCTCATAATAACATACGGTTACTGACTTTTGAAGAATGGCAAATATTTAACTAATGTAATAATTTCAGCAAATTAAGATTGCCTAGTTTTCTTAAAATCTGTAGAAAAATAGAATGAATATTGTTTAATGACATCTAGCCAGAAACAACTGAAGAGACTCTAATGACAATTTAAACCTTGCCTCCCCCATTTTTTTTTTGTTTTGCTCCTGGCAATATAGATGTTTAGCAATGCTACACTGGAAGTGATTCATACTGTATAAGCAATTCTCCTCTATTCGGGGTTTGAGCTTGCTGAAGATCTAGATAAATCCCATGACATAGCAAAGGACTTTTCCAGTTTATATATTTTTAAAAACCTGTGGCCATATACATGGGGTACATACATGGCCCAAATGTTGTAGTTTGTTTGACTTTCTCATTGCCAACCTTGGTCTGCTGCTGCTAGAACTACATAGGTATCTCCCTTATTGCTCCATTCAAACTAATGAAGCATCAGGGTTATGAAACAATATATCATCCAAGTAGAAAGAAAAGAAAACCATGAATCCAGATGGAAATGCAGTTAATGCTTGGGATCGATTTGCATTTGCCATTTTCTTTTAACTAAAGAGGAACCCATATAAAATACGAAGTCACAGACAATCCCTGATAGTATTTCCAAGAACTGGGATGTTCACCCACAATTTCTGTTTGTTGTGATACTAAATTTTAGCTCATAACTCACAACCAAGACATTTTTTTCTCATTTTCTTTACATTGAGCATAATCCCAGCAAATATTAGGAATTTTAAGTGCTGTGAAATGCACTGGAAGTATTATGTGAATTTTGAACTAAAAATCAACAAATAGACTAGTAACGATGGCTGTATGAAACCCTGTGTTAGTAAATTAGATGTTGGTAACAGTGTTTATGAGTAAGGCCTAAACACCTTAAAGGCATCAGATCCTCTCTGATTTTGGAAGATAGGCAGGGTCAATCCTGGTTAGTACTTGGGTGGAAAACTGCCAATGAGTACCAGGTTCTGTAAGCTATATTTCAGAAGAAGGAACTGGAAGAGTCACTTCTGAGCATTAAACCCTATAAAATCCATGTGGTCACCATAAACTGAGATGACTACTTGAAGGAATACATGGACACAATGTTTATGATGCTGTACACCGTGAGGTAACTAGTTCAGAGATGGGGCACATGGTTTTACGTGCCAAATGTACTAGGTTCAATCACTGCTATCTCTAAGAGGTAATGAAGATTCAGACAGATGTCACTCCTACTCAAAGTAGACCTTACTGCGATAGGTGGATCCAGAGGGCAACTTCTTATACTTTACTTCCCTGACTTTGGCTTCTCATACAGAAGGCTGCAAAACCAAGATTCAAGTCTCATAGCACATCTGATGATGAGGATCCCCAGCAAAGCTGTCCTGCAAAAGAACCTAGTGGACAGTTATGCAGGTTAGTTAATGTCACTTTTTCCATTTCTCTTAGTGCTAAATTGAGTGATTCACTGCTATGCTTCCCCCCCCCCCCCCTGTGGTATAAGTTGCAATTGCTATTTTTTGAGACTGAAAAATGATGGTACTGAATTGAATTGTGAGTATGGGCATAACATGCATTGTATTTTAGATGAAAACAGGGCAGAGAAATCATATTGCCTGTCTAAACTCATTATACTGATGAAAACCATGAACAAAGCATACATTTGGTGCAGATAACAACTGTTGCTTTTCAATATTTCTTGTGATTCTTGCCTTCAGGAAATAGTATAACTGATTTATGTCCACTTTTATTGTGTATCTGTGAATGGGGAGCTTATGTATATGAAAAAGAGGGGGGAAATATTGAGGTAATGGCTGAATTGGAGTTTTCAAAATTTGTTTCATCTCTTGCCAAGGCTATTTCTTTGCTTAACGTTAATGTCTTTGGGGGAAAAAAACTTTGAAAGTTTGACTTCTTTCTAGTATTGGTTACTGCTCAAGAAAATAATCAATGAATGTGACATTAGTTTTTTCCAGACTTAATGAAAGGAAGCACATTATTTATTTATCGTGTCAGAAGCGAGTTTAGGATACAGTTAAAATGCATTTAAAAACACAAGCAAAGTTCTAAAAAACTTGGCATTAGGCTAAATGTCCTTTGACCAGAAGCTGGCCACTTGGAGTGCCTTTTGGTGTCACTGTGAGAATGTGGCAGGGCTCAGGTTGCATTGTAGTAGGTGGTCTGTGGTTTGCTCTTCTCCACACTTGCATGTTGTGGACTCCACTTTGTAGCCCCATTTCTTAAGGTTAGCTCTGCATTTCGTGGTGCCAGAGTGCAGTCTGTTCAGCACCTTCCAATCTTCTGTGTGCCCAGAAGGGAGTTTCTCATCTGGTCTTAGCCACTGATTAAGGTGCTGGGTTTTAACCTGCCACTTTTGGATTCTCACTTGCTGAGGTGTTCCTGTGAGTATGTCTCTCAATCATAAGAAGCTGTTTCCTGATTTAAGCCATTGGCATGCTGGCTGCTACCTGAACAGACGATGGGCCAGAGATGTCACTGTCTTGGTCCTTTCATTGTTAGCGGCTACATCCCAACTGATGTCAGGTGGTGGAATACCAGCTAAACAGTATAATTTCTCCAATGGTGTAGGGCATAGACATTCTGTGATAATGCAGCATATCTCATTGAGAGCCACATCCACTGTTTTAATGTGGTCTGATGTATTCCATACTGGGCATGCATATTCAGCAGAAGAGTAGCAAAGCGCAAGGGCAGATGTCTTCACTGTATCTGGTTGTGATCCCCAGATTGCGGAAGGAAGCATAATGGAGATAATCGTCTACAGTTCTTTCTGTTTGTCGATTCTTTTTCTCAATATTCCTGCACAGGTTGGGACGGCGGAGAAAAACAATGAAGTTGTGCCGTGACCTTTCTGATTTAGTGGTGTACACAAATTCTGTGGCAGCTCAAGACATAGTTGATGATGGTAAGATTGACTGCTTTGCCATAACCTCTCTAGATACGGGAAATGTTTGTTGCTAAAGTGAGTAAAGTGAATGAGTTGATACTGCTGTTTGCACAATGTGATAGGGCAGGGTGCAGGACAAAAAGAGATGATTAATGGCTGCAAAGCCCTGTAGCAGCATACAATTGCCAAACCACTAGCAGGGAATCTTTAGTCTACCAGATGTTTTGGATTACAACTCCCATAATACTGGGCAGCTTTTGATAGTTAAACTTCAAAGCATCTCTAGAGTTAAAAATGCAAGTAAAAGTGTACATCTTTTAAAAATGCAAACCACCCTCTTGAACCCACGCTGGCAGTGTTGATTTTCTTTATTTTCTTTCTTAGTCTTTCATTTTCACAATGTTTGTTCCTTATCTGTCCTCCTCTCATCTAAATGTGGTTTCTTCCTCTTCTATTTGTTTTTTTCCCTCCCCTCCAGCTTTAGATCTTATCCCTCCTACTTGCAATCCCTCCAGGCTTCTCTCTACATCCTCTTTAGGAAGTGGTACACAGGTAGCACAAGCAATTTTTGCTGCCTTTCCCACCTTTTTTTGAAGTCAGTCTCTGACAGGTAGCACTGCTGGGCAGCTCTCAGTGTGTAAAGCTGTCATGCTTCCACTAAGAAATGATTAATGTCTAGAAGTGACATGTTTCTGCTTGGGGCAACCTTTAATTAGAATACCTGTCCTTGTAGAGGATTGATAGTGGGGTGAGAGAGAAAAAACTTAGGATCATATAGTTTTGCTGTAACAAAGTTATGCAGTGAGTTATGACCTTGTTAAAAATCTTCCATGAAGTAGACAAAACACAATTGCAAATGTGTCGACAGCAACTTTTCAATTGAACTGGAGAACTCTAATCTTCATAGTATGAATTCCTTTATTCTAGACATATTGTGTGCATCCTGTTACAAGCATAATACAAACTTTCAGGGATCTGAAGCTAGATAAAATAATTAAGGATTTCCAGTTTTTATTTTTCAGCAAGACCTAAATTAAGGTCCTATTGCATTATATGAGTCCACACTGACCACATAATGCAGTTGCATTATATGGCAGTGTAGATGGGGTCTGATTAGACAGTACAGCATTTAAATTGTACTGTTTATAGTGTGAATTAAAGGTCAGCATCTTTTTTTTAGTTGTATGTAATACATTGAAGTGCTGGGTAGACTAGGTTTATATTGCTTTCAGGATAGATTTGAAATTGTCTCTTCATCATAGTGTACTAATGTACTATGAGTAACCAAAATCTATGGATGCCAAAGTCTCATTCTTTAAAATAGCATGGTAAAGCAATGTCCCTTATATCAAATTACAAAATCAAGCTTTGCTTTTGGGATTTTTGGAGGGCAGGATTTTTTTCAAGCTGTGGATAGCTGATATTCATGGACACTGAATCTGTGGATACAGAAGACCACATGGTCTTGAAAAGATTGGCTAATTGATCCTTAGATATCCTTAACATGCAATGAAATCTGGGGAACCTATTTGAATATAATGCTAAAGAAAATATCAGCACTTCCTCCCCAGAACTACTCATCATTTAAATATCACACATTAAATTCTCCTCTTAAAAAGGAGGAATGAGAGGAAAAAGGATATTTTCCTTTTCATGCTGCAAGGCACTTAACATGGCAACTACTACATTCTCCACTTAGATTTTTTGAAAGAAATACTATTTCTAATACATAAGAGGAACCAGTGATTATGGTGGACATGTGTTGTATTTGATGTGAAATTGCCGAACAGGTTGGAAATTAAGCATATTTAAAATGTTGATTATGTTCGCCTGTTGCCCATGAATTGAGCTGTGGCACACTACCACAAAGTAAAATGGGGAATTGTCACTCCTCACCTGGTTAGAGAAGGCTTCATTTGGCCTCATTTGCATTGAATAATCAAATCTGACTGGCACAAGGTGAGACTTTGAGGGCTGAGTTGTAGTGTGAAGATGCCTTTTCAAGTTAAGTGTGGTGACCAAGCATATAGGAAAAAATAGATATAGGTATAATTTCATAGAATCACAGAATCATAGAGCTGGGAGAGGCCACAAGGGCCATCCATTTCTCTGCCATGCACAAACACAACAGTCAAAGCAATCCTGGCAGATGGGTACCTATCTGAGACAACTCTTACCATCATATGTTTAGCTGGAGCCTCCTTTTCAGCAGTCTGAATCTATTACTCCATGTTTTATTCTCTGCAGCAGCAGAAAATGAGCTTGCTCCATATTCAGTATGGAATCATTTCAGATATATAATCCCTTAAAAATTGTATGAGGGCAAATTGTATGAGGTGAAAATTTGAAACAGCATTTGTCTTTAAATTACATAGAATCATAGAGGTGGAAAGAGACCACATGGACTACCCTGTCCAACTCCATTCTGCCATGCGGATATACACAACCATAGCACTTCCAATGATGGCCATTCAGCCTATGCATTATAGGTGGGGGGGGGGAGCATTTGTGTTTTCTTTTTTTAATTTCTGTGGTTTGCAGGACTCAGAGCAGAACGCTGTCTGGAACAGTAACTTTCCATTTTAAATTTGTACACAAAATCTAATGTCATATAGTAAAGGTAAAGGTTTTCCCTTGACATTAAGTCCAGTTGTGTCTAACTCTGGAGGTTGGTGCCCATCTCCATTTCTAAGCTGAAGAGCTGGCATTATCCATAGACACCTCCAAGGTCATGTGGCTAGCATGACTGCATGGAGCACCGTTACCTTCCCATCKGAGTGGTACCTATTGATCTACTCACATTTGCATGTTTTCAAACTGCTAGGTTGGCAGAAGCTGGGGCTGACAGCTCCTCACGCCGCTCCTTGGATTCGAACCTGCGACCTTTCACTCAGCAAGTTCAGCAACTCAGTGCTTTAACCCATTGCACTACCAGGGGCGCAGTGATGTAATTACATGATTAATTACTCCTGCCTATGTCATCAGTTGGGAGCCTGGCACCAACTGCTGCTCTGGGCCAGAGTGAAGAGAGAGGGGAGCAGAAGACAGTTCCATCTTGTCTCCTGTGCTTTGCTTATAATATAATATAATATAATATAATATAATATAATATAATATAATATATTTTATATACATATAATATTTATAATGGAGCCGCCGGTGGCGCAGCCAGCCACATGACCTTGGAGGTGTCTACGGACAACGCTGGCTCTTCGGCTTAGAAATGGAGATGAGCACCACCCCCCAGAGTTGGACATGACTTGACTTAATGTCAGGGGACTACCTTTACCTTTAATATTTATAATAATGTAATACAATATAACACTACCAATAATACAATATTATAATTATATATTTCATATTACATGTAATATTACTCATAATATTACAATATAATGGTATAGTACAATATAGTAATATATAATACTGATATTGTACTATGCTAATAATATAATATATTGTATGTATATATAACTTGTAAGCCACTCTGAGTCCCCTTCTTGGTGTGAAGGGCGGCATATAAATGTTGTAAATAAATTTTAAAAATGGTAGGAAAGAACCATAGGGTTTCCAAACGCATTGTACTCTCATCATCTTTTACTCTGTGTGCCATATTGGCTGGGTCCTGTGGGAGTGGAAGTCCAAAATGCCTTGCTAGCTAAAGGTTCTCTGTTCCAGGTCAAGTTCTTTTCCTATTTGTCATGTTCTTATGAACTTGCAGGATCTGTGGGGAATGTGCTATCCTTCAGTGAGACGAGAGCACACCAGGTGGTGCAGCAGAAGGCTGAGCAATTTATGCTTTATAACCAGAAGCAGCTCACAAGAATCTACCCATCTGCCTACCGGATTGACTCCAGCAATTTCAACCCTTTGCCATATTGGAATGTTGGCTGCCAGCTGGGTGAGTGATACAGTATATGTGTGCAATGCATGGGCATATGATCTGCCTTTTCTTTCCCCTGCAGATGCTTTTATTTCTGTTTTTACATGGTATTTTCTTTAGGCGGAGGGCAAACCTACCACAATGATGGTATTGTGTTGTTTTGCCATCCAAGTACAAGTTCAGTACTATTTTTGGTGATACACTATGAGTTAAATGGGATGTAAACTGAACAGTTAGAATTCAGAGATTTTGCAGGATTGGTACTATGTAATTTGTGGCTGTCAATAAGGTGACCATGGTGAAGGAACAAAGTTATTGTGCCCATTTCTCTAATCATGGCCAGAGTGTGGGGAAAAAAAACAACCTTTTCACTCTATCTCAAGGAATACTGCACCCAATGTGGTTGCTACTGACTGGAGAGTCATGGGACTTGTAATCTCAAAAGTGACTTTTCCAAGCACTGCCTTCAGATGACAAGAGAGCCCTGACCACATGGCATTATCCTTTCACTTGGCACTCTTAAATGTTCCCATTTTTCATGATGAACCAATGGAGCAGATAACTACCTTGTCTCTCGCACAAGGACACTGCATTCTCTCTACCTGGGACACAGTCGTCATGCCACACAAATCTGTCTCAGCTTCCTTGGTTCAATTCCATTTATTTCTTTGAAAATCAGAGGCCATTACAAGTAGGATAAACTATGTCAAAGATAGCATTGATTGGCTCCAAACTGCATTGACTGAACTCACTTCTCATTGAAATATGCCAGGCTTGTCATGACTTATTGATTTCAACAGGAATAATGTGCAATTATCTTACTTTATGTATGGCATAAAGCCATATAGCTTTCTGTTAGGTGCAAGTGACATTTAGGCATAATAAATAAAAACCGTGCTATCTCCACAGTGGCATTAAACTATCAATCTGATGGCCGAGTGATGCAGTTAAATCAAGCAAAATTCAAGATGAATGGGAACTGTGGATACGTCCTGAAACCTCAGCAGATGTGCAAAGGTAGGACTGTGCAGTGCATTGAATCTGCTGTTATACATTCAATATTTAAGTCAGCTGCATTATATTCATTTGTTCCATAGTAGCAGTTATTTAGTAGGCATTTAGGATGACAGTAAAACAGTCAAAGAAATAGTCCTGCAAATTTGTTGAAGAAGAGGGTATCGGTATTTAAAATTAATTTAAAAACATTCACCCAAAATCCAAAATCAAAAGCCACTTTGAGTCTCCTGTAGGAGAGATAAAGCGGGATATAAATAATAATAATAATAATAATAATAATAATAATAATTGTTATTATTATTATTATTGAGTTTTGGAGCACAAAACTCAATAATAACCATCTGTCAGCCGCAAAAGGCCACCGTACTGGGATCTGCAGGCGTTATTCGCCAATACATCATATACATCACATAGTCCTAGACATAGTCCAACATATGATCCAATACAACAGCCAGCATAGTGATTTTGTTTGCTGTGTGCTAATCTTGTTATGTATTGAATAATAATAATAATAATAATAATAATAATAATAATAATAGTTATTAAAAAGAAAGTAAATGAACTGAGCAAACATAAGCGGCTCTAATAATCTTTGCACATATTTATTATTGTGAATTTTACCTTTGGACCCATGTCTTATGAAGTTTGTATGTGCAGTGCTTGGTGTGAATTGAACTAGCAGGCAGACACCAAGATACCCTGGGAAACTCAATTAAAATATCAATAAAAATAGTAAAATTGGAAATTTATTTATTTATTTATTTACTTCACTTGTATACCACTCTTCTCAGCCCTCAGGCGACTCAAGGAAATTACAGAACAGTTAAATTCTTACCTCACTTTGTTCTTATATTTGTTTTTTGATGTTTGCATGCCATCTTTATAGTTACATAAGACATAAATCCGCTGTTCCTTTCCTCACTCTTTGCATCTTTAGGCACATTCAGTCCCTGTTCTGCAGATCCACTTCCTGCTTTCCCTAAGAAGCAACTGATTCTCAAAATTATCAGTGGACAGCAGCTACCGAAACCTCCAGATTCCATGTTAGGAGACAGAGGAGAGGTAAAAGATATTGGTGATATAAAGTTTTACATCATTTAACTTTGTTGTGGTATATCTTCAGACCATTTTTTACCTATGGTGACACTAAGGCAACCCTATAGCAGGGTCTTCTTTGCAAGATTTGTTCGAAAGAGGTTTGTTGTTGCTTTCCTCTGAGGCTGAGAAAATGTGACTTCCCCAAGGTCATCCAGTGGGTTTGATGGGTGAATGGAGATTCAAACCCTGGTCTCCAGAGTCATAGTCTAGCGCTCAAACCACAAGTTCCCTTGCCCAACTTCTCCTATAGGTTCATGCAATATCACATTTAATTGTCCTGGTTGTGCTTTTATCAATATATACTTGTAATCTAATCTACAACCTGCTATGATTTTAAAACTGTTATTTCATGTGTTTTCTAAGATGCATATAACTAAACCGACTATTTGACAATTTGATTTTTATTTTTGCCTCAAGCAGATAATCGATCCATTTGTTGAGGTAGAAATTATTGGACTACCCGTCGACTGCTGCAAAGACCAGACAAGGGTAGTAGATGACAATGGTAAGAGATATGTGGATTCCCATTTGTAGAATGTGTTTGTGCATGTTAGTGAATGACTAAAAGTGAAGAGACTAGGTGATAATCTGAGCTCATGCTGTGCTGATGTCTTTTAGGGAATATCCTTTTTTGCAGGTAGGCTTTTGTGTGTTCATAACACTCACAAAAAATATCCATGCCAAGCTGCTATGTTGCCTTTGCATAAATATTTCCAGCCAATGGGAGCGCAACACCTCAGACATCAATGACAGCAATATGTCATGTTGGTAGAATCTGACATTCATTTAAGCTGATATGGGAAAGTGATTGACTTAAGACAGCTGTTACAAACAGCAAGTACTGTAAATAACAAGTAGAGCATATACTGGATAAGAATGTCATCTTTACCCAGATTTATTGAAATGTTAGTATCAAGCAATTACTTAAGCCTCTCCTGAAGGAGGCAGGAAAACACTCTTATTTGTTTTGGGTAAATGAATCATAACAGGGAAGGCTAAATGTGTGTGTGTGATGTCTCCTCCTCCTCCTCCTCCTCCTCCTCCTCCTCCTCCTCCCCTCCTCCTCCTTTGATTTTGACTGTCTGTTCTTTGCTTCTCCTAGGTTTTAATCCTGTTTGGGAAGAAACACTCAGTTTTACCATTCACATGCCTGAAATAGCATTGGTTCGGTTTCTTGTTTGGGATCATGATCCTATTGGCCGAGACTTTGTTGGACAAAGAACAGTTGCCTTTAGCAGCCTTATGCCTGGTTAGTCCAGATTTAAAATGGTATTTTTTGGGGCAGGAAACAGAATTTTGTACTACGTTACAACCTCCTATCTGCAGGGGATACATTTTTTGGACTTCATGTAGATATGCAAAACTGTAGATAACAGCAAATACTAATGGAATTAATGACCCAAAAATATCATAGTCAGACTAGAAAATGCCTGCAGAGGGCACAGTGTGTTGGAAATGGATAACTGAAACCATAGTGATTATTGATGTCATACTGTACAGATAAAATGACAAAATGCCTCATCCTATGTGTTTGTTGAGTAGGGTGGTCATAAATTTAAATCCCTTCTTTGTTCCAAGTCCTTGAAGTGTAGACTTGGCAGTGCAAAGAATATATATTGGCAGATGAGAGAAAATATCATGCTTTATTAGGGTTGGAAACTAAGTCTAGACAACTCTGAAGCAATTATATGTCACAGACTCTGTGATCTGATTTGAAAACATGGTGTCTGTTATCTTACAGTCCTTCGAGCTTGGGAGTTGGAGATCTGTTGCTATTTCTAGCTTTCCAGACTTCAGTAGTAGCAAAGAGTATTCTTTAGCTGTTTTCTCAATTAAGGGTTGTAGTAAAAAAGAATAAAAGAAAGCGAGATTGTAAAACTAGTATATAAGCCTGCCTAGTTTGAATTTTTATGCTTCAGCATTATGGTCACTTATGCCTCAGTTTACAACAAGGATGGCAACAGGAACCCCATGCTATTTTCGTGGCTTAAGAAGAGGCTGATACGTATACATCTCACGTACGTTGTGCATAGTAGGTGTCTTCCAGCTGTGACTTCTGACAGTTTTCCTTTTGATTTCAGCTGTAAAATGAGAAAGCCCCATTGATAAAATGCTACCTGAGTTTATTGACAGCAGGGCAGAGTGGTTTATCATAATGACCCGCCCCTGGCTGTCAAGAATGAGTAGCAGCAATCTATTTCCTTCTCTTCTTCTGTACATGCAAGAGGACAGGATTCAATGCTTCCATTTTCATTAACATTCCACGTTGCTTCCAGATTTTTGGAACTAGTATTTTTTTCAGATTCTGATTTGTTAAGTTACTTTCATTAGAGCAAGCACCGATTTCCTAAGTTAATAAATAAATTGGAACCATGGCTTGTTCTGAAGACAGGGAGAATGTTTGCATTTTCTTTATATTAGTGAAGCAGATGGCAGGTTTACATGAGTTTGAGGCTTGATGGGTCTTATTCCAGTCACCTAAACATGGCCTAAACTAGGCCTTCTATTTATGAAACTATCATGTAGCTTGGTAGGGGTAACAGCATGTTATGTAAAATACTAATCACTAGGTTTCACTCTCACCAGGCTATCGTCATGTGTATTTGGATGGACTAACTGAGGCATCTATATTTGTTCACATAACAATCAATGAAATTTTTGGAAAGGTAAGATTGGACATGTTTCATTTCTGTTGTCTATATTGTTGCTGTTTTTGTTTCTAACTTATCACAAACATTTTAAAGGACACACTTTTTTCCTCCCATTAGCATTCTTCCCCACCCCCCACCCCATTTCCCAAATTGAGAAATGATATATGCTAAGCTTGTCTAAACTATTCCATAATGACAATATGCTAAGGGGGGTATATTGGAAGAATGGGTAACAAAGCAGGTAGCAACTAAAATATTTGATTGGACGAGTTCTTGTGGTTAATTGGAGCTTCAGAAAAGTTGCTGTTTGGATCTATACCTCCCAGAGCCCCTGCAAGTATGACCAGTTCTTTGAGAAGAAACCACAGTTCCATGTTGCTTCCAAATTTGTGGAATCAAGGGAAGTTCCAGGCTTTGCCATGAGTCCAGGAGAACTCCCAAGCTGCGAGCCAGAGGCTTCAGAGGGAGTGTAAACCCATCAAACACAGGCTGTAACCCTATACCCTGTTTGGTCTTCCGACTGACCAGCAGTACCTCTGTCTTGACTGGATTCAATTTCAATTTGTTTGCTCCCATCCAGTGTCATAGCTGCCAGGCACCAGTTCAGGACCTGAACAGCCTCCTTAGTAGCAGGTGGAAAGGAGTGATAGAGTTGATTGTCATCTGTGTACAGATGACATTGAACTCCAAAACTCTGGATGATCTCTCCCAGTGGCTTCATGTAGACGTTAAACAACATAGGGGATATTATTGATTAAAACAGTACCTCCAAGACCCATTCCCACCAGGCGTCCCAAAAGGAGACCATGGTCTACGATATTGAAGACCATTGAGAGGTCCAGGACAACCAACAGGGACACACCCCCTGTCAAGTTCCCTACTCAGATAATCCACTAAGGTAACCAAGGCTGTTTCAGTTCCATGGCCTGGCCTAAAGCCAGACTGCCCTGGACCCAGATAATCAGATAAATCTAATTAAAACAGGATCAACCCTCAGAAACCACCTGGCATCATGACGAATTGCCATGCTCATTTGGGGTTTGGAGAACTGTAGGTTTTTTAAAAAAGCATTTTGTAGGGTATTTGCATTCAATGAACACCACCCCCTTTTAAGCAGCTAAAGAAGTTATAGGACAATGATATATAACAAATCATGGTCACATGCTAAGCATCTAGTATCTCTTCTGAGACCAGATAGGATCTCCCCTCCCAGCATTAGCTTACTAACTATTCCTAGCTATCATTGCCTCTTCTTGGCAGTCAGAGCAATGTAAATATAGCACACAGCCAGTAGAATCCTCCTCTGCTGTTGTGATTGTTGCTTCTGCACACTCCCAGCCGCTTGTATAAACGGCATACTAGTCTACTACAGCAGCATTACCACCCTTGACTTGTTGAGATTATACACATAGTTAAAATAACACACTTAAAGCAAGATAATATATAGGTAAATTCCTAGCATCCATCTTGGTAACCTTTACAATACAGTTGTCTTCCTTCAAGTGAGACCATCTCACAACTCATGTTGAAAAATGTATTTATTTATTTATTTCGGGTATTTGTACCCCGCCCTTCTCAACCCCCCCCCCTGGGGAGGGGGGGACTCGGGGCAGCTTCCAGCTGGCACATATTCAATGCCTACAAATAAAACACAATAAAATATTAATCAAAATCCATAATTATAAATAGTTAAAACATTAATACAATAAAATCTACTAAAAAAGAGAGTCAGTCCCATCGAGTTCTAGAATTAAAGACTCCATTAAGCGTGTCCATAAACTGTTTCCATAGCTATTGTCGTCATTATCATCGTCAAGTCCGCAAGATTACCCAAAGGCCTGGTCCCACATTTACGTTTTTAATTTCTTTCTAAAGGAGAGGAGGAATGAAGATGACCTAATTTCCCCGGGGAGTGAATTCCACAGGCAGGGGGCCACCACCGAGAAGGCCCTGTCCCTCGTCCCTGCCAACTGTGTTTGTGACAGGGGCAGGGCCTCTCCAGAAGATCTTAAATTCCTAGGTGGGACGTAGAAGGAGAAAAGTTCGGACAAGTGTTCCGGGCCGGAACCATATAGGGTTTTACATGCTCACGTTTCAGCAAAAGGAGGAGCCAGTGCCATCTCTACCATTTGGCAGAGTGTTGTAGTTGCCTCAGAAGCAAAGTCTGGAAAGCAGCAAGGTATTGGGGCGGAGACCTGCGTGCCAAGGGGTATACAGTCTGCTGCTTTCAAGTGCAGTGGAAAACAAAGCCGCATTTCAAGCATTGAATTAATATCTCATAGCCAGTTCAGATAGCATGTATAGATGTAAAATGTGGGAATTGATTACTTAATTCTTTCAGTGTCAGTATAATCAGGGTAATATGAATGGAGAAGTAGCAGTTGAATGGCAATGTAGCTTGACAGGGGAAAGGGGAAGGGAGGAGGTGATACACAAGAATCTAGGAGAGAAATACAACACATAGGCTCTTATGCACTTTACTTTCTAGGCATGGGGCAATCAGGATTGAAGTGCTGGTGAATACCTATGGGCGTTTTGCAACTTATGGGTGTGAAAATTTGGTAATTTCTTATCACAACTATGCCTATTTCTTTAGTCGTGGAGGCACAATGGGTTAAACCCTTGTGCCGGCTGAACTGCTGATCTGATGGTCGGCGGTTCAAATCCACAAGATGGGGTGAGCTCCTGTCTGTCAGCTCCAGCTTCCCATGTGGGGACATGAGAGAAGCCTCTGACAGGATGGTAAAACATCTGGGCATTCCCTGGGCAACATACTGGCAGATGCCCAATACTCTCACACCAGAAGTGACTTGCAGTTTCTCAAGTTGCTTCTGACATGAAAAAGAAGTGATGAAGTTCTTCTGATTTTTCTTCAGACACTTATGCTGTCTGAAGACGGTGTTTACATTGTACAGGTGTTTACACTGAGACAATGGTTTAGAAATAAAATACGGTTGTTTGTTCGTTATCATGCAAAAAATATATGCATTGTACAAAGTGACATAATGCAAGGCACATGCACCTGGATGACATCTTCCTTCCTGAACAAAATAGGATGCTTTAAGTGCTAAATGTTTTTCTCTCCTTTTCCAAAACTTGCTAAGATATGGGTTTCCCCCCGCAATTTATAGCTCTGAATTTCCACAGCAGGATGGCCAATGGCTAAGAGGGGATTCTAAGAGTTTGTAAACCAATACAGTAACCTAGTTCATCTGTTTTTTTCTATTTGATCTGTTTTCCCACACTAGCTTGCAGAATTTCAATTTTTCTTGTAAATCCAATTAACAGGTTCTGTGTTTGCAAGTTGTTCACAAGAAGGGGAACCACTATTTCTGGTTTGCAAGGTTTGGAAAGGGAAGGCAAACAGACACCCTTAGGCGAGAGTGAAGCTGTATGGCATGCATTTCTCATCAGATTCCTGGAAATAAATGGCAGCACTTTTAGCTAGGTTGCTCTGTGCTTGCTTTAAGAAGCAGATATTTTTCTTTGCAGCTTAATTTGAATGAATTTTAATGCAAAGCTTGCTGCTATTAATTTATTTCTTTAGAATATAGGAAATTTTAAATTTTGCTTCCAGTTTTATAAAGACATTTTCATGAATGCTTTTTCTTAATGTGTGCCTTAAATGAATATTTAGCTAGCACCAAGGACATCACTCAATGATGTAGCCCACACTTTGCCTGTTGGGTTCAGTCTCTGCAAAGAGCGAGCTAAGAGAGACTCCAATCAGAATGCCCATGTTGCTGCTTGCCAGTTTACTTAAATTAGAGATGGACAACTACGGTGGGAACTGAAGCCGATTTTACCCTGTGTGCATGCTATAGGATACACTCCTTCATTTTTGGGCAAATATCAGAATTAAAAATACTTTTAGTCAATACTTCTTGGCTTGTCTGAACAATTTTGGCATTGAATTAGGCTAGGTTTCCCCAATTCCCCTGATTTCCGGGAATGCATGGTGTTTTTTCCATGCATTTTATTTTTCTCCACAATTGAAAATGGGTTTCAGATGAGATCTTATAGTGGTTCCTTTCCCAGTCATTTCTTATTTGGATCTAGAGCAGGTCAGGGTGTATGGAATAAACTTCCCTCATATGTTCTATGGAAGGAATTAAGAGCTTTTTTGTTTATTTAAACATAAATAAATAAATAATAAATTTATTTTTATACCCCGCCTCCATCTCACCGAAGGGACTCGGGGAGGCTTACATAGGGACAAGCCCAAAGAGCACAGAGTTAAAGCATAATGCAATAAAATAAAATAAAAACTAGACAAAATCAAATAGAAATGTATCACAATAAAACATAACATCATGAAAACAGTACCATGGGAGCAATAAAAGTGCTGAGTTCAGAGGGCTCAAATCCTAGTGCATAAATCCTAGATAGAGCTAAGGAAAAGTACAAAATTCAGTGGCAGGGATGTGAGAGTAATGTCCTTGGGCTTTATAATGTCAGGATTGTAGAGCAGAGGGCAAAGCAAAAGTGTTGGAACTTAGGTATTAAAGGGCCAAGTTTGAAAAGCAGTTATGGCCTTCCTGAGTCTGGCATGGGAGTCATGTCGGGCCTTTAGAGTTGGATGTTGCCTAGCCATGCGCTGGCCTGGATGGCATAAAACATCCTGCTAGTATGTTAAAACTAACTATATATCATAATAATAGCAGAAGGTCAAGGCAGAATGGGAAGAATGTAACAGTGAAAAATGATTTTTTAAAAGATTGGAATAAATGCACTTGAAAATGCATGTAAACATTTCAGAGATTAAAGGATAAATTACAGAGTTTGGATTTTTGTGGTTTCCCAGACTATTTTTCTTCCTTAGAGTGGGAATTAATCTTTTAAAATGTATTGCTGCCTGCAATCTGTTTTGCTTAACAGTTTGATTGTTCAGTTTGTGGCTGTCAGTCATATTAGCAGTGCTGCATCATTTAGGACAGAGGGGTGTTTTATATCTTTGCTCTGTAGATACAGACAGTGCTGTTAATTGAATCTGTTAGGTGAGCATAACGAATGCTCAGTGTCTCTATGACTTGGAGGTATTCATCTGTCTTAAGGGTCCTTATGAATTCCCTACCCTACTGTACTACAGCAGTAGAGGAAAGTGCTGGAACTTAGGTATTAAAGAGCCAAGAATTCCAGCTGTTCTCATTTTTTGAAAAAGTATTTTCAGAAGTAGCAAAATACAGCAAAATCCACAAAGGATTGATATCTTTATTGGGCAATGAAAATGCATCATGCAAGCATTTAAAGCTTCAATGCCTTCTTCATTAGCAAAGGTGTTAAAAATCACACAGAAGAAAAAAATATTACAGTCCCAGGTCTACATTCTGTCTTGGATGCAACCTTGTCATCTCTTAAGATGGTATTGAGTGATTTGTAGTGTAATGTAAAATAAACCATGTGTGGCTTACGTTTTGAACCCACACACTCCCTTCCCAGAGGAAAAAAAATGCCACGCAGGTGAACAGTAAATAACAAGTAGTTTACTCTTTGCAGTTCAGAACAACATATGTACAATGTGATCAGTTATATAAACTCCCATAATGTCCTTTTATGAGAGATTTAAAATGGCCTTTCTTTGTCCATGTGGATATTTATTTATATTCCGCTTTCCCCTCTAAACTGGAGATCAAGGCAGCATGTTGATTCAAAGCAAATGAAAACCTTTCTTAATTGTAAAACAACTCAAAATGTAATGTGGTGTGGGGAGAGAGGCTGTGACTTATTCCATCTTAGTAATTTCTAAGAAAAAGTTTGAATTTCCCATTATTTTAAAGGACATTGAGCTGACAAGACAGTCATGTACCTCCTCTATAGGCTGGTTTCCATGTGTAGTAAATCTCATGCCAATGAACTGAACATAGCTGATGCTGTATTCACTTAGAGAAAGTTAACTCTTCACCTGATGCACCCTCAATTTTAACTTCCACTTTCTGGATGTGCTTGATGAATGCGCACACAAATGTATGCATGGGTTCCCATTTTTCAATTTCAAAACAGATTTCCACCCAGAAGTGAAGGTTGTAACAAACAGACACCAGGTCCCATGTTGCTGCCCACCCCAGGAAAACTATTCTACATGAAGAAAGCTGTGAAATATCAGAACCAGTTCAGTAAAACATTGAAACTAGCCCCATGTTTCGGAATTTTGGAGAGTTGTAGTGCAGCACAACTTGGAGGTGCCAGGTTAGAGGTGGCTGATCTGTAAAGGAAACTGGATGTATCACTTTGTTCTGTTGTGACTGAGCTGTAGAAATTAGCTCGACACATCTGCCTTTCTTTGCCTTCCAGTGGAGTCCCTTAATCCTCAACCCAAGTTATACTATCATGCACTTTCTAGGAGCCACTAAGGTAGCCTTTATTTAGCATGCGTTTCTGCACTTGCTGGGCAACCATTTTTGCTTTTTAATAAGAGTCATTTTGAGCCGCATGATCTGTAACTGCTGTGTCGCTTCATTTCCCATCAAAAGTTTGAAATGTTGTGTTGCTGCTTTGAAATGGCCCATGTCATAAAACTCAGAGCCTTTGGGCAGGGCAGCCTCTCACTCCAGGACATTTCTTGCAAGCTTGTCATGTGTGATTAGGAAACCTCTTATAAAGCTCCTTAACCATCTTGGCAGGTTGTCTTCCTGACAAAGAGATAGTCTCTCATACGTGCATGAATTTATGTTGAGTGTGCTTGTTCTCTCCAACTAGAGGTGGATTTGTTTTGGGTTGATAACTGTTTGTTTGCTTGCTTGTTTGAGGTTTCTCTTTACTCACCCCTCAGATAATATGCACATTCAGCAATTTAGAAATGTATTGCTGTAACATAAGCCACGTTTTCAAAAACCTGTAGTATTTCCCCTCTTCTCCTCTTTCATTTTATTTTTTCAGAACAAACAACTGATAGGACTCCGGGGGCTTTTCAACAAGAATCCCAAACACAATACTATGGAAAACAGTGGTCTTTATGTTAGGAAAAGATCAATTGGTGAGCGAATTCTCCGGCGCACAGCCAGTGCTCCAGCAAAGGGCAGGAAGAAGAGCAAAATGGGCTTTCAGGAAGCCACTGAACTTAAGGAGAGTGTATCAGAGGTGACAGACCTGAAGGACAAGGACGGAGTTTTAAGACGTACGAGCAGGAGCTTGCAAGCACGTCCCATCTCCATGCCAGTTGAGAAGTATCTTCTGAGGGGTTTGCCATCGCCAGATCAGAAGGCTACCACCACCATGGATGATAAAAAAGAAAAGGCCTCTGGTAAGTCTCTACAAAAGGTATAAGACTTATGAAATATTTATAGACTTGATTCTCCACTCTGAAAGATTTTATGTTCATGTATTTTATGTTCATCCCATTGAATTCAGTGGGACATACCTCTATGCCAGAGGTGTCAAACTTGTGACCCTCGAAAAGATGGACCTCCAACTTCCAGAATCCTTAGCCAGCTTTTTCAATGGCCAGGAATCCTGGAAGCTGATGTCCAAAACACCTGGAGGGCCACAAGTTTGACACCACTGTATCCAGCATGGCCAGTAGTGGGACATTCTGGTTATTGTAGCCTAACAACACCTGGAGACTACCTGACAAGCAATACCAGACTGTTTTCTCTACATTGTGCCAAGCTGTTAAAATAGAGAAATAACCTGCTTATTCTAGTAAGAGGTATAATTCTAAAGAAGGGATTTCCTTACGATTTCACAATCCTGGCAGCCTTGAAGAATACATGTGCAGATGTTTAGCAATTGGGAGTCCAGAAGTTCTGGACTCAAATGACTTTATTCTAGTTAGTACCCTTCAGTACAAAAAGCCTGATTGCATGGTTACTGGTGTGAATTTTTCATCTATGATATTTGGTGCCAGTTGAATTAAAGATAAACACTTGTTTACCTGTCTCGTTTTAACATACATACAAATAGGTTGGGAGAATAAAAGATGCCTTTCAGTATTAATAGAGATCTTAGTATTAAAGTGTAGCTGGTCTGTGATATTTGGAAACTCCTCAAGACTAGGGAACACCATTAGTATGGATACTGTGACAACCACAATAAAAGCTTATTTGTGATCTTGCAGTTTGGATTTGCATACAAATGCAACATGAGATGATGGGATTTGTTGGATATGAAAGACTACCTAATTTCCTGATCTGATTGACAAGCAACTGAAACCCTTGTTTCTTACCATATTGCAGCATACCTCAGTTAATGAAGCCTCTGTTAACAAAGCTTCTTTTTAGGAAGGCTTTTGGTATTCTTTCCCACTCTTCCCAACTCACTGTAAGGGAAGAGCCTTTCTGTGGTGACAGCCACCCATCAGGCTTGAAGTTGTAATTATAAAATGGCTCCCTATGTGCAAGATCAGGCAAGAGATTAAATTGCTAATAAAGGTTTGTTGGAATTAAAATAAATGCATTTAAGCTTTGAGAAGATTACCTGTATTCACCTAGAGATAGGGAAATAAACTAGAAAGAATTCCGTAACTCTTTGTGTTCAGATTTTCAGTGGCTCCATTGAGTCTTTCAACAGAAGCCTCAGAGAATTGTTCTCAATGCTTTAGATTGCTACAGTGAGATGCTACGTGATACAAGAAAAAGACAAGGCAGACATCCTTGCCTTTTTGGAGAAGCCTTGATGTGGTCTGCAGAAAACTCAAAATGTTTTTGCTTATTTATGCAAGGCTCAATGACCTTGTCGTTTCATTTCACGCATCCATATTATTAATTTTAAATAATGTTTTCTGAAATTCATTGAATTGCTCTTCTTTTTTGTGGCATAGAAACCTGTCCCTATTCTTTCCATGTTATTTCTGCTATGGGTACAAAATATTCTGTTAAAGAAGTAATGTCCAGGAGCACATCTACTTCATTAACGGAGGTATGCCTGTACATCACCATGGCTGAGTGAGCCTTCAAGGTTCTTTCACCTTTGTACATCTAGAGCCGCTTTCCTCAGCTTGACAGAAAATATGTGGTTTATTAATAGGAAGTCCAACACATTTCAGCCAGTTTATCTTCTTTAGGTCCTTCTCCAGATACTTTTAACTTCAGAAATTTCTGCATCAAAACTGGATGAAAGTGTGGAACTTTTAACTCTAGAAATTTCTGGAATTGAATCTGTTACCTTTCACATGAATTGGACTGCAGCTCCCATCATGTCAATATCTAACCATTTTATATCTGTTGGCTAGGGATAATGGAAATTGTTCTTAACAAAACTAGAGGATACCAAGTTAAAGAAGGCTCCTGAACGAAATAATTAGATCCTTTAACAAGTAAAGGGTTTTTTGTTCTATCCCAGGGATATGCCCTCAAAAACCAGAACCTTTTTGCATTTGGGGTTGGAAAGCAAATGTTCAATATATCACAAGTGGAGATCAACTACTGATATCCATACAAGGAGAGATTCAGTGTGAATGCAAAGAAACTTTACATTTTTTGTAATTACTTAACCTGTCATCAGATTGTGATCAATTGAAATCACCATAAACATTCAAATTCTTTTTTATTTATTATTTACTAAGCTAAAGCCACAATAAAAACCAAGTGTTAGGTACACTTTTCCATTCAACTAATTTGAACTTTCTATCTGTGCTTTCTTTCCTGCTAATGAGACAGTGATATTGATTTTTTTTTGTTAAAGTTCTGTGTTATGGAACTGCAAAGAGACCCTATATTTTTCTGATAAGAATATAATAGAATGATATTACTGAGATTCTGCTTTTAAAAAAAATAGCTGTCTTGCCTGATTAGAGAGTATGCAGTGCTCATAAAGACCAGCTTGTTTCACAGCAATGTTTTAACTGTTTAATTCAAAGCCATAAAACCACTAGACTGGGTGGGTAACTAGGGAAAGCTAGAAGGCTACATCAGCCCTCCCAGGAGACCTTGGAGGCTTGTACTACACACCACATCCTCAGTCCATCCAATTTTTATTTAATTTCTCCCAGCAATATCCTGCAAAAAACCAACAGAATATAGGCAATGTGAAGAATATTTTCACCATTTTTAGGTCCATAGGAGATACATTTTTTAAAGAAACATCAAGTCACTTCTGATTTGTTTTTTAAAGGTTTCCTCTAAGTCTAAAATGATCAAAGGGACTCCCAAGACATTGCAAAAATGTCCCCAAGGCCTGTACATATCAACAATTAACAAACATTTTCTGGACTCCTGAGAGGCAACATAAACAGTCTTGAATGACTCCATGTAGTCTACATTTTGCCCACTCCTGCCCTAGACACTTTGTTTAGCCTCTATGCCCCCACATCTGCTGAATTTCTCCTCCCCCTGCATCCATATTGTTACTTTTGCTCTGTTTTTGGTGGGTTTCTTGGTGTGGGAGAGGAATCTAGGTCCTAGAATGGCAAGTATGCTGTTACAGGCTTAAATCCAGTAATAGTAGTCCCAGTTAGAATAGATTGATTGCATCAATAGCCCATATTTTATATATCCCATATATTCATGTACAATTCTAGGAATTTTAGTAAAAATCAGTCCAAAACCCCTGGCTCAACTTATCAGTGGGTCAATGTAAGTACTGTACCTTATATAAAAAGAACATTCCCTCTCTTTAGTTGATTGGCAAAAGGTAAGAGTTTAATCTGTCCCAGGAGAATTTAAAAGAGGCACTGACCACCTCTACGTTGTCTTCCGCAACACCTTGTCTGGCCTTTTTGAATGCCTGGGTAAGGGAATGGCCAGGAGTGGCTGGCCCTCTGAGACAGGATTGGCACTTTCCCCTCTCTACAGAATGATCTTTGACTATGGGTCAAATCAAAATCCATAATTTTGGCCCCATAACCTGCCCTTGACTTGTATATGAGGTTGATTTATACATGACTATATACAATAAATCACATTGATTCGGCGAGTCTACTCTGCTTGGGGCTAATAGTTGGATTTAGGCCAGAGAAAGAAACAAAATGTACCAGTAGAATTGTAACAAATCCCATTCTTTTGATGGATATGTGATATTAGAAAGCCGTCTTTTCTGTGAAGTCCTAATACGGGAAGTGTAATTCAAACGTTCTGATAAGCATGCCTCTCCTCTTTGCAGATGGTGTTTTAACAGAGCTGTTTTGTTCTGTTTTTGTTTGCCATGCTTCTTTGTAGTACAAATCTGAATAGGAACACAGCTGAAGGTAATGCCACATGTCCAGACTATGGTACCTCATTGACATTCTTTACAACAACTATTACATCTTACCTGTGATGATGTAATAAAACATTAAAGAAAAGCTTCAATGAAGTGCCTCCAATTGCATTTTCCTCATTCCTTTGCATCACATGGATAATTTGTACTAAGCTTGCACAACCCCATAATTAAATCCTCTCACAGTCGTGACCAGTTTCACTTTCTCCATTTGTTTGTTTCCAGACAAAATAGTCATATGCAGCATATCTAACCAATGTTTTTATTTGTTTGTCTTTAATGCAATTTTGCAGAAAGTGAAGACCATACAAATTCGAAAGAAGCAATTTCCTTTTCTGAGAAAGATTCATCTTTTATGGCATTTGTACCTTCATTTGAAAGTTTTGCTCCCAAGACTGATGATTATACAACTTTACATGCTTATGAAAAATCAGATGGCTTAGACTTTGTGACTGGCATAGCTGAGACCTATTTCTCCACTGAATATTGGAAGGATAATCTTTCCAGTGAGTCTGTACATATAAAGAAGGAATCTGAAAGAGAAGAGAATGAAGGTCTATGTTCTGTGGATCAGAAACTTTGGGGAGGTACAGAAGAGAAAAAAACAAAAGCCAGTAGTTCTGTTCCTCAAGAACACGTGGAAAATATTATCAATTCTCACACGCTAGCCAATAGCACTATTACTAATTTATCATTAGGTGACTCGTTTTCTTCTGCCTGTCACGATGTCCAGGGCTTTCATTATACACCAGCCATACAAGATACTGACATTTCTCACCTTATCAGTGAAGTCTCTTTAACTGATGAAAGTGATCTGAGTAGTTCTCTATCAGCACTGATAGATCAGGCTGATGTCACAAGTGATCAGACTAATTTGACTGTTGTGTCCAGTCCTCCTGGAGTTGACAAAAAGATCATTAATATGAAGTCTACACATTCACCACATATGGTTTCACATGATCAGAATGAAATGCCTGATTGCAAGTCGCCTAAAGTAACACAGGTTGAATTGCCAGCATATTCAACACCAGAAATGGCTATAATGACAACACCTGCGACAACAGAGTGTTCTCTGTACACAATTATCCATGAGGCTCCTCTTTCTCCAACTGCTTCTCCCCATGTTTCAGCAGCCAAACTTAATAATGAGAATATAACCCGCTGTGTGGAAGATCCTAGTACTGTTTCTTCCTGCATCTCATCTGTCACTCTGCTGAAATCAGACCCAAAAAGAAAGTGTAGAACAAACTGGGAATCTTTCAGTGATAGTAATTCTTGCTTTTCAGATGCCTCTGACTTGGAGCGTACAATATTTGCCCAGTTCCCACCTGCAAATTCTGCAGGCAGCAGCTTAATGGAAGTTGATGGGGAATTACAAGACCTCTTGATCACTACCTATGAATATAAGAGGGAAGACATGAGTCAACTTGCTTCTCCTTTGAGACTTAAGCATAATCAAGACACTCAGTATCATAACAAAGCCACCTGTGAACATCCCTATAGTGTGGACATCCACAGTGCCAACCAAGTTGAAGATGGCAAGTTTAAAAATGAGAAGACACAATATTTTCCACACTCCAAATATCAAAATGGTGATCTTTTGTACAATAATTACTTTCAATTTTCAAACACACAAAATGAAGTGTTAAACAACTCCCAAAGAGCCAATGTATCCAAAAATGCTCTACCATTGCCTTTTTTCCCAGCTCAAAAACAACCAAGTCCTTGTAAATCCAAAAGTCTTGGAGACTTGACCTCAGAAGACATCTCTTGTAATTTTGAAAGCAAATACAAGTATATTAGTAGGGGCTTTATTACATCTGGCATGAAAGATAAAATGGTGGCTACTCTGAAAGCTAAAAAACCTCAGACTACCAATTCTCTGACAGAGCAACTGCGGAAACTAGTGTCTTTTGATCAAGACGATGGTTGCCAATCTTTCTGTTCTCAGCAAAATGATGATTGCCCTAAAATGCTGGTTAGAAAACTGTCTTCCAGGAGTCAAAGCAGAGTGCGAAATATTGCTAGTCGTGCCAAGGAGCGACAAGAAGCCAGCAAACAAAAGCTTTCCAACACTAGCAGCAATGTAGCCGGGGTGGTCTTTCGAAATAAGCCCTCTATGACTCCTCATGTTATCAACAGACACTCCACTGGATCTTACATAGCAAGCTATCTTGATAACTTCAATGCAGATGATGTAGAAAGTCGAGGCGTCCCAGAAGGTGCATGCACATCATTGCGTTTTGGATACAGTGATCGGTTTTGTACAGATGACTCTCTTTTAGAGACAAAGCCAAGCGAAGATGATAAACCAGAAATTTATTTTCTCCTGAGACTGTAAATTGTATAAATGCACATCTTCATTGTTTACAAGCTTTCCCACTGAATGAAGGATGATCAGTAAGCAATGTAGCCATTAGCATTCAAATGACTTAGAAATTTATTTTTCTGTTGTCATGAATTAATGCATCCATTTTGATCAAAGATTATGTAAATAGATGTTGTAAAATTTATTTTCAGTTTTTCTCTTCTTTTTTTGGAGACTATACACAAACAAGTTGGTTATGGTTTGCATGCCATATATGCAATAGATGTCCTGTATTTGCAGTGCATGTGCAACAGAATTTGGTATAGCTATGAGTCACCTCAAAATATTGCACTGACTGCAATCCCTGTCTTCTTTTCCCAATCATTTAGCTACTTCTAATGATTTTAGAGTAGTTACCTTATGATTTCTCTTTCAAGTATGTAATCACATAGGTTCAATTGGATTATTTTTAAATGGAAAAAATAGATGGGAGAAAATAAGTATTCATAAATATTATCCCTATCTTAGAAGATAGGGATAATAATAAGCACTCCAAAATAATGCAGCAGCGTGAGCAATAGTGGCTGAATGGCTTCCATGGCAGTCGAGTGGTCAGTTCATTCTGGGGTTTCATCCAAACTTTAAAGGAGCCATCTGGATACTGAATGCCCTCTCTCCAAAACATGTTCAGTATTGTGGATAGCTTCTTTAAAGTTTGGACTTAAAATAGGAATGGATACGCCATCCTGCTGATGTAGAAACCACTAGCTGTCATGAATGCAGATGAGAAGACCATTACCTAATCCACAAAATAAGCTGAAAAGTGTTTGAAATGAATGATCCTAAACAAATTTTGTAATATTAGAAGCAAGATCTTTATTTTTTTTAAGAACAACAATTAAATTGAAGAAACAAGATATGCAAGGAGAAGGGTAAAACAGTCAATTGGCATATGAAAGAATGGAAATGTGGTTCTTTTTTGGCAGTTGGTGTATAGTGAAAAATTGCCTCAAATCCAGAACCCTTGGTACACAGTCAGTGTGTCTTATATTCATTCTGAGTGCCAACTTGCTTCTCTTCAATAATGGGAATGTTTTGAACATGCATCTTGGAACTGAATGCTTACCTGACATGACAACGGAGCATCTATGATTCACAGAAAGCAGGCGTTTATTGCTGCTTTGCTTCATGTGTTCTATTTAAGTGTTTTATTATATTTTACTTCAGCTACACTTGTAATAATCCAGATCTGTACACAATTACTGATTTGCAACACTGAACAGTAACTTTACATAGCCATATCAATGCTTCATGTATTTGGATCTGTGTATACGTACGGAGTATTTGGTTGTTTTGATGTTAGTATCAGTCCTATGGTTTTTTTCTATGTTTTGAGGGTTATCTCTCTTTGAATGTCTTCTGAAGTAACATTTAAGTTTTCCATTCTTACAGTGACTGTCTGATTGTTTAAACTATGTGTAATTCCATCTCATGGAACTTGGAATATTAATCCTACTGTTTCACAGCTAATGAATCAACACTGGCAGATTTCTGAGACTAGCAACTTATTCTAAACAAGGGTAAGCAACTTGTGGCCCTCCAGATGTTAGACTAAAATTCCCATGATTATTGCCTAGACTGTTCTTGCTAGGGACTGATGCAAATTGTAGTCCTGCAACAGCTGGAGTATCTCAAGTTGCTAATTCTCTTTTTACCAGTTCATGCTTATATCCTGTGGCTACATAAATACTAGTATTGCAGCAGTATCTGTTAACAGAACCCAATGAAATATCAAGAAACGTAGGTGATCTTAATGTAGCCCAACAGAACACCCACATATTCCTTACTATCTACAGAAATATCATATTCAGCAATAACAATATATAGACCCAGTACAGATGTAACTTCTCTAATTTTACAATAATGTGCTAAAAGCTTTGTTTTCCCCACTGCATGATTCCCCCCCCCCTTCTTTTCAGTACTTTCTTTTGGCCATGGTATACCATCTGTATCAATGATGTAACCATGTTTGATTCTAGCCTTCATTAATTACACTTATGACCAGTATTATAAACAAGGTTTGGAAAACCTAGAACAAACCCTTATTTTAAGGTAATATTATTAGCCATGGTATGCACTGATTCGAATTACAATTATATTTGTTTATCTTTAAACCCTCTGTGTATGGGGTGCAGAGAGAAAGAAAGAATTCCAGGTGGAAATGAGGAGAGAGGAAGGATGCACCAAACTTAGGAAAACTTGCTTGCCATTCATGGAGAAATTATGTCTTCCCAACTTTTTCTTTACTTATCTTGGGGTCTATGAAATATAAATTGCTGTTGTGACTCAAAGGTGAGGCTGAAGCAAATTTTGCTTTCTCAGTGTTTGTTCCATATATTTGGCTATGAATGTAACTGAAACGTGGTAGCGAAGTGGTGTACACTGAAGCCACACTTACTCCACAGGCAACTGAAAAAGAAGGTGGGCTTTTTTTGTCATTCTGTGGCTTTGAGATAAGGGCTTTTTCTATTTGCTGCTGTGGAGGAGGGGAGTCATTGTAAAAGAACCCCTCCTGTCAAATTTTTCCCATATAACTAGAATTGTCCAGTTTTATCCTATGGGCTGTGTTTACAATGTGTGTTGATGCATTTTTTTGTAATGTGTAAAAGACATGTACCTAATAAATACCTCTTTTCTTTTGTAATACAGAATGTTATTTGTATTCATGGAAGGGAAACAAAATAAAAATTTAGCACTCCAAGTGCATGTTTTAAAGAATGAAGCAAAGCTGAATAATTACAATTGTCTTCTCATTTGCTTTTACCAAAGAGCCAACTCTTTCTATAGAATTATAGGAAACAAATCTGTAGAAAGCCCTGAGTGGGAGAGTGGATGGATTCTGTGTGTTTTCACCATAGATTTGCACAAAATGGCCAATTCTTGAGGTAGATGCAAAGAATTGGAAGAGACCTCATAGCCATCCAGTCCAATCCCCTGACAAGAAGCAGGTAAATTGCATTCAAAGCACCCCCGATATATGACCATCCAGCCTGTGTTTAAAAGCCTCCAAAAAAGGAGCCTCCATCACAATCCAGGGCAGGGAGTTCCACTGCTGAACGGCTCTCACAGTTAGGAAGTTCTTCCTCATGCTCAGGTGGAATTTCCTTTCCTGTAGTTTGAAGCCATTGTTCCACATCCTAGTCTCTTGGGCAGCAGAAAACAAACTTGCTCCATACTCCCTATGATGTAGCAAAATGGATTCCACCATAATTTAGTCTAAGCATTATTGAACAGTCAGTTTGAATGCCTACTGATAGTCATAGTTTAATATTTTTTGCAAAATTATGTGCACACACAGTGTTGTATCATTTTCTTTCTGCATAAACAGATTTAAAGTAAACAAATGGCAAAATGTGGAGATGAATTGAGTGTTAATTCAGCATCACAACTGGTCTTGGGAGTTCTAACACCATGTGCTGTCCCTGCTGGTATTGATATTTCAGTTCTATGTTAAAAAAAACACAACCCCTTTAAAACAACTTAAGTTCGGTAAACTTGGGTAAACTATCTTGTGCATAATTCATGTTTTTGTGTGTACATCTGGGACGAGGACCTAAAGATGGCATTGGGAAGACTCTGACCACCGGGAAAGGGTTATCATACAATTCTGATTTCTAAAATGTCAATTGCGCCTTCGAGCATAATTTTAAGGTTTGAACGCATGGCATTTCCTTTTCAAACAGACAAACAAGGTGACTTGAATTCTTTGCAGAATTTCATAGTTGATTGTTCATATGACATTCGGTGGCTCTTCCATAGGGCAAGTTATCATCTTAAGTTCATTGCCATCATGTTGTATGTCTCTCCCAATCACCTACTGATATTTAATCAAAGTAGAGGTCCAACATGTGCTGAGTAAAATTTCTGCGAGGAATGGAATAAGAATTTGACAATTTCTCGATTAGGGTCAAAATTTACAGTTCACACCTCTTAGGGAACATTTACAGAAAGAAAATAGCACCTGGAACTTTTTATTCTTAGTGCAACAAAATTTTGTGAACCATACAGTTTAATATAGTATAACTTTTCAAGGATAATGAGTTCCTTTTCTTTTTTTGCTTTAAAAAGCACACTGCAGACAATGTATTGTTATGTGCACTTTTTAAAAGTTGTGTAACTTTAAAGTTGCACTTTTTAAAAAGCTATGCAACATTCTGATTCATATTTTTCCTTCTCTCTTTGGAAAGCTCCACAGCTTCCAGTGTGCCACATTATTCTGTTTTATGATTTTCCTCTCACCCACTTTTAGAAGAATATAGTAGTCCCTGGTGACGCATCGGGTTAAACAGCTGAGCTGCTGAACTTGCTGACCAAAACGTTGGCAGTTCGAATCTGGGGAGTGGGGTGAGCTCCTGCTGTTAGCCCCAGCTTCTGCCAACCTAGCAGTTTGAAAACATGCAAATGGGAGTAGATCAATAGGTACTGTTCTAGTGGGAAGGTAACGGCACTCCATGCAGTCATACCGGCCACTTAATGTCAAGGGGAATCCTTTACCTTTATCTTAAAGTTGATTGCAGACAACAAACAAACAACAATTTTTTAAAATGGCGATGGAACCAAGGCTACTTATGCTACTAGCCTTTTATCAGTTACAGTATCTAAAAGGAAAACTATCTGGATGATGGATAACAGAATTATAAGTGAAGAGAGATTGGATTTAAAGCTGGCTGTTCAACTCTAGATCACTGTTATGTTTTGGCCCATCATGCTGAAAATAATACTGTAATCTCTGATAGTAAGTTCTTTACTGCCTTCATTGATCTCAAATCTGCTTTTGATTTGGTTTCAAGGAAATTCCTACTCTCTAAATTACAAATTATTACAAGTGGAGTCTCACTTATCCAACCTTCGCTCATCCAGTCTTCTATATTATCCAACACAATCTGTTTGGAATAATGTCCAGGGTGGGAGAAAGAAAGAACTCATCCGTCTTGGTGCTAAATTCGTAAATACAGTAATTACTACATAACGTTACTGTGTAAGGAACTGCTTTTGTGTCGATTTGTTGTAAAACATGATGTTTTGGTGCTTAATTTGTAAAATCATAATGTAATTTGATGTTTAATAGGCTTTTAAAATCCCTCCTTATTATCCAACATTTTCACTTATCCAACATTCTGAGTATTCCTTGCCTAAGTAAACCTTCATAGTAGCTTTACATGTTAACATTATAAGGAGCGATAATGAACAATACCAAATATGTATCTAGTCCAACATTGTGTATGCTCCCTGGTCAACCAGCTGTTTATGAGGATTTCAGAAGGAGAATATGAAGTCTGCTACACTTTGCTGTTATCATTTCTCATGTCTGATAATGCAAAATACAGAGATGCCTGCTTTGCTCCTTGAATGGAAAGTGAACATTAGTGGCAGATAACTTACTTTACCTGTGTTGAGTCCTTGTGTGGTTCATAACCCTGAGAGATCCTTTCTGTATTGCAGAATGTCT